TAAAATATAATTTATAAAAATTGTTATATAAAGGTGGAACTAAATCAATTTACTTATGCAATAATTTTGAATACATTCATGTAAAACCTACAGAATCTCATTTGTTAGATAAGATTAATATTTATTAGATAACGTTGATATTAATTTTATAAAACTATAATTTTGCAGTTTTTTCTATATTCAATTTTCTGTTTAAAAATGTATTTAAACCATTGTATCAGAACATTTTGTAGAATGCAATAAAATATAAAGCAAGTACATTATGATGATAATAAACAGTTTTTATTTCACCATCATAAAATTAGTATTTAATTTGTCGAAGTAATACAAATTAATTTATTTAACATACACGCACGTTCGGTTTCGATACTATTCGATTTCAACTTATGACATTGTTTAGCCACAGTCCAAGTTCGTGACATGTGTATACAAAATTTGTGAACACCTCGAAATTAGAACGAAATTTACCAATGTTAAAATACCCGCTTATACTTCAATAAATATTTGTTTTTAATGATTTTTAGCGAAATTGTGCGTGTTATGTTTGCGTTTAACATCGCTGGGACGAAGCATGAACGAATAAACAGTTACAATTTGCGGGGCGAAGGGTTATATTGGGAATCGAAGAGGCGGAGTCAATGGGACGCATGCGCAGTTAGATATTTTTGATACTTAGACTGGGTTTCCTATACGCTCTAAGCGTTGGCTCGGTCTGCAGTCTCGCGCGGAGTGTATAGTCGAGTAGTGGCCGACTGGTGTGTGTGTTCCCACTTCTCTTTACTTCCCTCGCTTCTGTTAGACCTCGCGTTACCAGAGTCTATCAGTCGCGTTTGTACAAGAAATGGAGCTCGAGCAGCCAACAGCGCATACGAATTCCGATCCAGTAAGTATCTATTCCGTATCTATTCGGCTCGGTGCGTTCACCCACGTGCATAGTTTTTTGAAATTTCTCTTTAAAAGACCGCTTTCCTCTTGAATGCAAGGCATAGCCGCGGACGCGAAATTTTTCTAAGTCCCAAAATGGCGTCTGCGACTAAGTCCTACCTGGCTCGCTTCGCATCGCCAGACGTTAAGTCCAATAGTAGAACGAGCATTTATATACAATACGTCGCTCTTAATAAGGCAACATTTTAATGCAAATTTCATCGTTCTCAGGAAAGAAAGACCAAGGAGATCAACAATGCAACTGGGAATCACAACGGTAAGCCGTTTATATGTGTAGTTTAACATACGTGTTCTGATATAGATGAGATTGGAACTTTGCAGCAGCAAATGCAAAGTTCGACGCGACTGTTAGAGAGTTGAGGCTGCCAACAACCCGACCGGCCTGACACGTGTTTTGATTCTGGCCAAGTGTCTGAACAATCTGTGATTTCTTACGATTCAAATTTTCTTTTTTTTCCTTTTTTTTCTAATTTACGTTTTTTCCCTTACGTTTTATGCTTCGAACGTTTTTTAAATTATACTTTCTTTTTTTACTTGAGAATTAATGAAACTTATTGACTAATTGATTAAGATCAGGATTCTTTGAAAGGGTAATTTAAGAAAAATATAAAAATGAATTTGAAAATTATATGATATCACAGAAATGCATAAACATAATAAGCTACAATAATTGTAATAAATATATTGATAAATTTAAGTAATAAGTTTTTGTACAGAATTTCTTAGAATAAAATTTTAATAATTTTATAATTTTGTTTAAATAATTATTTTATGTCCTATACAATAAATTTGTTGTGTAACAAAAATATTATATTCTATAATCTTTTTAGATACTCATATAAATGGCATGTCCAATGGATTTGATAAAAAAAGAGAACATAAGTCAGATCATAAGGATAAAGACAAAGAACGATCTCATAAGTCGGATCATAAAGACAAAGAGAGGAGTAAAGATAAGGATAAAAGTCATAGGAGTGAACACCGGGATAAAGACAAGGACAAACATAAACATAGTTCTAGTTCCGTTAAGGACAAAGATAAACACGATGGTAGTAACAGCAGCAAAGACAAAGATAGAAAGAGTAGTTCGTCGTCGAGTAAGGATAAAGAACATAAAAACAGTAGTTCCTCAAGCAAAGACAAAGAGAAAGATAAAAATAAGGACAGAGAACATCATCACAAATCTAGCTCCAGTTCTAGTTCCAAAGATAAAGACAGGTAAATGAAAATTACTAATTCCAGTTGTCTTTGTTATGTTTTGTCAATACGTTTTTATAAAGAATATTATTAAATATAATTATAGACATCACAGTAGTTCCAAGGATAAAGAAAGCTCTAGCAAAGACAAAGACAAGAACAAAGATCGGGACAAGGATAAACACAAGCATAGCCTGAGTTCAAGTTCACGAGACAAAGATAAAGATAAAAGTATATCCAAAGACAAGGAAAAAGAGAAGAAACATTCATCGGAAAAAGATAAGGAAAGACATTCAACATCTCATACGAATGACAAAGAAAAGCATCGCTCTGCTGACAAAGACAAGGACAAGTATAGTTTATCTAGTAAAGATAAACATCGCCATGAAAAAGATAAAGATCGCCATCGTCATGACAAAGACAAATGTTAGTTGTGATTTTGAATGGATTAGTAGTCAAACTTGATTTGTATTTTAATCTGACTTGCTTTGTAGCTAAACATAAGGAGGAAAAAGATAGAAAGGAGAAAGAAAAAGAAGATATTAAAGTGAAAGAAGAACCAATGGTTGAGCAGCCTAATCATCATATACAAGCTGGAGAGTTTCAATTTCTAAGTGTTAGTTCAATTATAAAACAAGAAATGAAAGAGGTACAATTAACTTCAGATGTTTTACTAATATAATAAAATATTCAACAGGTAGTAAATTACAATTTCAAATCAACATAATACTTTGCAGGAACCAGTTTCACAAATTGAACCAGAAGATGATGATGACAGCGGTGGTGAACAACCATTATACATTAAAGAAGAAGAGGATGAAGATGAGCCTGTTAATGAACAGGAAGCTAGTATGGATTCAACTGATGGAAATGATACAAGACTTTCAGATCTTCATAACACGACTATTAAAACTGAAGAAGAATCAGATGAAGATGTGCCTTTAGTAAGTGAGAAACATGTACATCAACTATTAGTAACTTATTCAAAAATTTAATATAAACTAAAAATTGATATAGAGTGCAAGATCTGTGGCTCCTACAAGCATTAAAAGATACTTGGAATCAGAAGAAGAAGAAGATGATATTCCTCTTTCAGCACGTAAAAAGCCTAAAAAAACTGAAACAAAAACAAAGAAGAAGAAACGAAAGCATGAAGATGATGAAGATGAAGTTGAACAAGTAATATGTTTAATTATATATTTTAATGATATTTGATATTTCATAAATTTAATAAATTTAATTAATGCCTTGAATAGAAACCAAAAAAGAAAGGTGCAAGAGCATCGAAAGGAGAAAATGCAAGTCCACGAAAGAAAAAACAAGAAGAAGAACAAGAAGTTTGGAAATGGTAAAGCTTTAATAATATTTAAAAATCCCGCGTGCATTTAGTGATTGAGGTTATGTTACATAACCTTATTTCAGTATTCCTTTAACGTTTAAGCTCTATGTAGTTCAAATTATATAGGGAAAAGATAATACAAAAAAATGAGTAACTTTAATGTTATTATAGGATAAATTTAACGATGTCTATATTTGTTGTAAGCTTTAGATTAATTTTTTCGAGAAATTTAGTCCGTAGTATTATTAATTGGAAAATCAAAGATAGGATTGAAAGTCGTCAGTTGGTACGACCTTTGAGGTTAACTGTGTTGAGTATTTTATGATTTTTTCCATTTTTATTTGCTATATTTTCTTTCACGATTATTGTACATATTATTACAGTAAAATCGACGATCAAAAATGATTAAAAATAAACAAATAATTTGCTCAGGTGGGAAGAAGAAAAAAAGAATGATGGAACAAAATGGACATTTTTGGAACACAAAGGACCAGTATTTGCACCTGCATATGATCCTCTTCCTCCTGATGTGAAGTTTTATTATGATGGTAAAGAAATGAAATTGAGTCCAGAAGCAGAGGAAGTTGCCACTTTCTATGCACGCATGTTGGATCACGATTATACTACAAAGTCTATGTTCAACAATAATTTCTTCCAAGATTGGAGGGAAGTAATGACTGACTCAGAAAGATCTAAAATAAGAGACTTAAGTAAGTGTGATTTTAAGGAAATGCATGCATATTTTATTCAAAAAAGTGAAGAGCGAAAAGCAATGACAAAGGAAGAAAAGCAAAAAATAAAGGAACAAAATGAGGAAATTCAGAAAGAATATGGTTTTTGTGTTATTGATGGGCATAAAGAGAAAATAGGAAATTTTAAAATTGAACCACCTGGTTTATTTAGAGGCCGTGGTGAACATCCTAAAATGGGTAAATTGAAAAAGAGAGTCATGCCTGAAGATATTCTTATCAACTGTTCTAAAGATTCCAACATACCAAAACCACCTTCGGGCCATAGATGGAAAGAAATTCGACATGATCCTAATGTTACATGGCTTGCTTCTTGGACTGAAAACATTCAAGGACAAGTAAAATATGTCATGCTTAATCCCTCTAGCAAACTCAAGGGAGAGAAAGATTGGCAAAAGTATGAGACTGCTAGGAAGTTAGCACAATCTATAGATAAAATTCGTGCTGAATACAAAGAAGATTGGAAGAGTAAAGAAATGCGTATAAGGCAAAGAGCTGTTGCCTTGTATTTTATAGATAAATTAGCTCTGAGAGCTGGTAATGAAAAGGACGAAGATCAAGCAGATACTGTAGGTTGTTGTTCTTTGCGAGTAGAACATATTTCATTGCATGAACAAAAGGATGGAAAGGAATATGTAGTTGTGTTTGATTTCTTAGGTATATTAATTTTCTTTTTAATCAAATTAAATAGAATATTATTCGTTTAGTTTAGTATGCACATATTTTTATATCAATGTACTTGCAGGTAAGGATTCCATAAGATACTACAATGAAGTGCCAGTAGAAAAACGTGTATTTAAAAATTTGCAACTCTTTAAGGAAAATAAATCGCCCGGTGATGATCTATTTGATCGTCTTAATACAACCGTCATGAATAAGCACTTGAATGAATTGATGGAAGGTCTTACTGCTAAAGTATTCAGAACATATAACGCGTCATGGACGCTACAGCAACAATTAGATAAATTGACAAATCCTGATGATACAGAAGCTGAAAAAATTTTATCATATAACAGAGCAAATAGAGCAGTTGCAATTTTGTGTAATCATCAACGTTCGGTACCTAAAACTCATGCGAAGTCTATGGAAAATCTTAAAGTAAAAATAGAAGCTAAGAAGGAAGCTATAGCTGAAGCAGAACTTGCTGTGAAGGATGCCAAACGTGATGCCAAGCATGGATCTGTTAAAGAAAAAGTGTAAGTTACACCTATTATTTATTTGATACTTAGAAATGAACATTATTACATTGTATGTATTTTATTACAGTGTATATGATAAAAAGAAGAAAACATTGGATAGATTAAAAGACCAGTTGACAAAATTGGAGGTCCAAGCAACGGATAAAGAGGAAAATAAAGAAATTGCATTAAGCACCTCCAAGCTGAATTATCTTGATCCTAGAATTACTGTTGCATGGTAATTTTATCTTATGCTTTCTTTACAAAGCAAAAATTTATTAGTAAAAATAAATGAGACTTGTAATATTTTAGGTGCAAGAAAAATAATGTCTCCATTGAGAAAATTTACAACAAGACTCAAAGGGATAAGTTTAGATGGGCAATAGACATGGCAGGACCGGACTACGTCTTTTAACCCTATGAAGAATTGGTTATTTTACAAGAAAATAATTCCCACTGATTGTATTTAGTGAATTTTTTGTTTTAATAATCTGAAGAAAAAATGGTATAATTTTCTATATTTACAAGATGATAAAAGCAGGAGGGTGGAGACATATTTTATATAGGACAGTGCGTTAAAAATTTTGGTGAAGACATTATAATTGATGTGTAATAACGACACATACTCATAGCTCTAGAGCTGATCGCTTAGCAATCAATGTATTAAAAATTTTAGCGGTCGCATTCGCATATAGGCGTTGTTTCAATTGACCTTATAATTATCGAACACGAAAATTGAATAGTATGACAGAACTTTAAATTCCTTAGATAGAATTTCTGATGTGTGTGAATTAAAAAATGGAAGCAAGATTCGTGGAAGTGATCTAAGTTTAGAGGACATATTTGCATTATTTCGATAGTACAAGAATTTCATGACCTCTAAATTTAGTAGTGTACACAAATTCATGGGCTGTAGCATTGTAAATAGAATTTATTCGTGAAAACTTTGCCAGCCGATGGAGAGAAAAGTGTGCGTGTATTAGGTCGATAAAAAAAATTAACGCGTCTGCCAAACGAGTAGGTAATTTTATATTTGTTTAATCTGACTTTTCTTGTAAATGTATAATATCATCAGTGGAAAGTCATTTACATCGTGCATTATAACATTCTAGAATATCTAGAATGATTAGAGTGTTGGAATCATGCGCTCTATGTAATTTTTTAGTATCAAGTTTATTGAAAACGAAATTGTGGTTAGCAAACTTAATTGGAATATATAATGCCCCAAAAAATAATTATGATATAGTGATGTATTTAAAAAGTAGATCATCGCTTTTAGCGATTTATGTTTTATAAAACAATGTTTAGATTATAATAAATGTGAACACAGTGTATCTTTAACATTTTTTTTTAAATATTTGTACACATACGAACCTTATAATCGTTATGATAAGCATCACGAAAGAAAGCTGCTGGTTTTAATGTGTTAAAACCTCACTTTTCACGCTCACTTAGCAATAAGAAATTCTAAAACAAAATTAGTTTTGTTTCAAAACTGTATGATCGATGTGATTTTAATAGATACTAAATACGTCTTTAGTAGCAAGATACACAAATCAGTTGCAATAGTTTTCAAAAATCTTAATTCTAAGAACAAAAACATATATTTGTATATGTAACTAATGGGACTCAAGTTACATATTAATCTTTGAAAATACGAAATATCTCACATTAATTTGTCACGAGCATAAGTAAAACATACTTAGAATAAATCATACTATTTATCTTGGAATGTAAAACAGCGACGAGTAATTCCCTTTCATAATTAGAAAAAACGTAAAATGTTATTGATTTTGAATATATCATAAGTATTAAGTTTACTTCCGTTTCTAATATCTTATATTCGTATTGCTGATTGCTCGTCACTGACAAAATATTCCTACGACTATGTTGTATACATACAAATATACTCGATTACTTACACCTATAATTATATATAGGTATATATACATATATATGTATATATGTATATATATGTATGTAAAATACACATACACACACATATATATATATATACATGTATATATATATAAGTATATTTTAAAAAATTACAATAACAAAATTATACGAATGTATAATCAGAATGGTGGTTCTTTAAAATCCCTACATTAACTGCACGTTAGTTTACTTTATTTATATGACATGAATTGAAGCATTTCGAAAAAGTTAAGATATTATTATGACTATTATAATCATCATCATTATTATCAAAGACCACTATTCTCACAAAACTGCCAATCATTGTACGATTAATTGTATAATTTAATAGTCTGACATGCTACAGAACCAGTTTCTCAGATTAGATATAAGTTTTGTAATATCTTAAGAGTTCCAGCTACAATTTATAATGGCTAAAGAATTTTATTTATATGAAACACACTTTACTACTGCTTAGAAGTATAAAAATATTCAATTTCTGTTAACTGATATTAATACTATTTTTAATTGTATCTTTTTTTTCTCCTATTGACAGCAGCGAATATTTTTTTGTGGGCAAAACTGGTACTGTGTGATAGACTGAATGTTAATTTATATAATGACATAAGTAGACTGAATTTAAGATACACATGTATGCATATGTATATCGCATTCTTAACTTACAAATTGAAATTATTTGCAATATAGGGGTTAGTAATTACATAATATTACAGATTATTAAAAAAAGAACATGCAATCAGAGAGTAGGCCTTTGATATCAAATGTTTTATGCACGTAACGTCAGATGATATAACATTTTTAACTTTTACAAATTGTGAATGGCAAAGAAACGCAATCGATATATCTAGTACAATGTGATCTGTGCACAAATTAAACGTATATGTATATTTCGGACATTACCATTTCTATACGATGCTAGAATAATAAAACTTATAACGTCGAAAAATTGGTTCGTTTATTTAACATGTTGGACGATCACTTACTAATTATAACCGAAATTTCAGTTATTAATATATTTCATATCATATTGTGTATGGAATTGAAAATAAACTTGATGTTTGTAATATCTTAAGGTGCAAGAAACATAATTAAAAAGTCATTCTGATTTTTATTCATTTATTACTAAAGAGCAAAGTACAATAATATAATTTATTACTGCAGTTAGTGGTAATAGAAATAAATTACTAATAATTTAATTAAAATAATCATGAAAATTTGTAATAAATATTAAACGATGTAAAAACTTACAAACATAACGTCCCATATGCGTGCAGTACGATTTTATTTCAAATTAAATTAAATAAATAATAAAAATTTCGCCTATTATCAATGTTTCAAGCCAGAGAAAACATTAAAAGATGTGAAATGCGAAAAAAGAAACAAAAAAACTATTAAAAAACCTAACAATAAATAAATAATTTAACGCGAAGAAGATAATATTATAGAAAGTAATTAAGAAAATGTAGAATTACATTTTCAAGTTATTGTATTCTGGCTAGTGAAACATTTTCAATAAATATTACAGCTTAACTAAAAAGGAGACATCGTAGTGTAATAAGAAATACATTGTTCAAATATATCAATAATATATATATATTATTATTGATATATTTGATATATATATATATCATAGAAGGCTGATAAGGCCACGACCACTGATCAATTATAATACATATTAAAACAATTTCTCGTAAAGATGTGCAACACAGAAAAATTGGTGATATGCATTATTATGAAGAAAAGATAACTAAAAGTCAAAGATTGTATTGCTTTCAGCCTTTCATCGCATTAATACATCATACTGCACATAGCATCACCGTTTTAGTATATAAAATATAAAATCTTGAGATTAAATGAAATCTTTTTTTTTGGTTATTATGTCACAGCAGAGTAATTACCAAAGTGGTAGTTCCTACTTTTAACCCTTAGCACTCCATATGATTTTGTAATCTACCAATAACTCCAAGCCGTTTTTATAGTATCTCTAGCACAAATAAAAAATGTTATATTGTAACATCTCTTAGATTTCTTTATTTTCCTTCTTAATACAAAATTTGGATGTATAGAAGATCCAGTAATCTTAGGGTAGTTCTTCTACATTTATTCATTAAAATATTTAATAGTATGTGTCATAGTGGAGCCTACAGAGTGCAAAGGGTTAAACAGGTAGACTAGATTAGGCTAAATCACTGTTTGTTTCAGTATTCTATTATTTTTGTTACACGTAACAAGAAAGTGTTACATAGAAAAAAAATGTCTTGAATGTTTATGAAAATAACATTCTAAAATGGTCAATGGTCAACTTGAACCAAAGTCCATTCTTTTATTAGTGTAATTATTGTTAACTTTTCTTTCTTTTTTTTCTTCTATTCAGAATTCGTATCTAGTACACATAATTAACAATAATATTTGTCAATAAAAATGCTATGTTATGTTTTTGAACATATTTTAAGCATACTTAATTGTCATAAGTTCTATGAGTGCAATAATTTGATCTATTATGCTAACATCGTAAAAACTGCTTATTGTCTTTAAACAAAATTTCAAAATCAACTCATGAAGCGTAAAGTGATACGTATATTTGGTATGCCGGATACCTTGTAATACGATAAGAATTATTGCAGCAGTTCGCGGGTTTAATTAAAATTAATTAGCAATGAAATCCTCTCAATTTTCAGCATACAAATGTGTAATACAAAAGCATAAATGCTTAAAAAATATGACTGTTATGTAAAGAAAATTTCAATGTAAACACATATCAATTTAAGAATATGTATAACAGATATGTATATCTGTCAGCCATTTTATATTACTGTATTTGAATTGAGCAATATTGATATCGCTCACATTCTTTTGTGAAGGTTTGTTAACGTTTGTATATTCTGTTCATTGACGAACAAACATTATACTCAACTTTTTTAAATGTATCACAATACATCGAAATAAAAACCGATGTAAAGATTAATATTAATACATACGATTTCACGAAGATCGAAAATGTTAAATTCTCAGCTTCATTCCGGATCAGTTTCCCCTTCTCCGATTGGCAAAACCGTAACAAGACCAGCAGCTGCTACTTTAGCTTTATATGCTTCCGGTTCGAACCAGCGAATCGGTGTCTGTTAAATAAAGTCATAATTATTTTATAAAATTAATGATAATGTCATATAAGAAAATATATTGATGAATTACTTTACCTTCGTGTGGTGTTATAAGCAGCATGCTTTGGATTTATAAAGCAAGTGTTAAATGATTTATAAGCATGCCTTCTTAATATAAAATCGTAGTTTTAAAGTCAATTTATTTAAAAAAGAAATTTATTATGGTTTTTGTTGAAACGCTGGTACTACACGATATTTAAAAATACAATCAATAAAAACAGTTTATTATCTTATCGAAATTTCACGAAATTGTACAATAATATTTGCATAATTTCTTACATCGCGTGTAAAATTTAATGCTTTCCTCATGTGATACTTAAAGATAATTTAAAAAATACGAACAGTCATAACTACTTTATGTTCATTTAATAATAAATTATATAACTATTCAAACAATTAATATTACATATGAAATGTAAAAAAACAAATATATAAGAACATAAAAAATCAAGTCTCATAACATAATACATTTTATCCATTTTCAGTTGTTTAGTCTATCTCTAGTTAACCACGCCTTTATCTAATAACACAAAACAACGTTGAGATCTGTACCAATTTAACAACATAAAGTGGAAAAACATACTTAAAAACAGTTTCTTGTATCTGAATAGTATTGCAATGTAATTACAGAAAAACAGACGTATTGTACTCATACAATATATACCATTAATATAAATAATATTTATATAAATAAGATAAATAATATTTATATTAATATTAATATAAACACTAATACTTTGTATTAGTACAACTCGAATCAAAGTTATCTTAAAATATAAAGTTATTAAATAATAAAAATTTTATCTTATACATGTATATAATAAATTTATAATATAATACTGATAACACAAAGACTTTTTGGTAAGTTTTAAATACATGTAAACTAATCTGTGGTAGTAACAAGAGATCTTTGGTTTAAGTACATATCGTCTCGCATATAAATCTGCTAGCGCATGCTTTAATGAACGTGATATTTAGAGCATCAACTTTGTAACTTAATATTAACCAAGGAAATTAATAGTTACTGAATTTTCATATTTTTATCACAACCATCTCTTACCGACGCAAGAAATTTTTTCCTAGCAGATCTTATCCTATCACTATTCTTTGTCTTTAATATCATAGAAATCAATAATATCCCAATATGAGTATTATAAAGATATAACAGAAATATAACAGTAATTTTAGTATTAGCACATTTGTCGGGAACAAATTATATAACTCAGAAACACAGTTAACTTTAGGACGAGTATCATTAATTTCGAGGCATTAAAGTGCAGATCAACGCGAAAGAAATATTAGTAAGTAACACTGTTGCATATCAGGTGATTAGCATTCGTATCACATCGCTGTACCTTGCGAACTATGTTGGGACACTCCTTCTGAATACGAGCCCAATCCGCAGGCGGTCGCTTAGCATAAGGACCTGTTGAACACAGCAACAAAAACTCGTACGTGAGTTCTCGAACTTCTGGAACTAAATAAACGTCTGATTAAATACTGTTTATAGACCTTAAAGTAAATGGTTTCAGAATTGAACCGTATCCGAGACGATTACCTTCCTGAGTCGAAGGATTTGTTTCAGAAATTATACGAGGTTTATAAGTTTCTTCGCTTTCCGAAGTGGCTGAACTATCCATATTTAATTCTCGGCTTATTTCATTAGCATTGCTTGATATCAATGATGTTTTTTGCGTGTTGGAAGACGAGATTGAATAAGGAGATTCTTCTTCGAAATTGAAGAATTCTATACCACTCGTGAAGTTTTCAGAATCTCCTAAGAAATATTCATCCAAAACCAGCTTCGCAGTCTATTATACATGTAGTGATTCGTATTAAAATATATTCTATAATTATTTATTTTATAAGGGTTATCGAACAAGATAAGTCTACGGCCGAAATAAATGTTGACTGCTATTATAATTAATAATTTATATGCAGTATATTCATTGTTTTTTTTAATGTTAAATAGAAAAAATACAGTTATTTTAGCTGTAGACTTTTGCTTGTAGATATTTAAAATGAGAAAAAATTATTACCCTAACAAGATCTAGATTACTTCCTGTGATTTTCAGGGATTGATTACCAACTGTAACTGTATATTTATATTCGCCTATACTGGCGTCGTTGGTGGAGAAGCTGTGGAGGAGCGAACGTACACGAGAATTTTGTTGCTGATGTTGTAGTCGGTTGCTTTCATCTGATGCACTGCTATTTAGCGAAGAACTAGAACCTCCCATAGCTCCCTTTTCTCCTCCACCTTGCTCCAATCTCACCGGCGATGCATTTCGTTGAATCGTATCTTTTATCAAGTCCTTCGCATAACTGTTACAATAATATAGGACGTATATAATAAATATCGAGAAAATATTATATTGAAATAAAGAGATATTAAACTTACTGTATCTTGTCCTCGGAAGTACCCGTGATTTGGACAAGTCGTTCTTTGGCTCCAGGGTTTACTACAAAAAAGGATCATATTAGTTCCACGTGTTTTTAATTGGCATAAAACTTTGTCGTAATTAAAGTTTATTTCATAAAAATTGTTTGTATTGTGGTTAATATGTAATATATAAATATATAGACACTTTCCAAACATTTCAAGGCAAATTATTTGTGAATTAAAACATTAATAACATCAGTATTAATTGTAGACGAGTTTATCTGTAAAAGAAAAATAATTTAATCTTTAAGAGCATTTGAAACAGTAAGCAATTATAAGCAATAAATTATTGGTATTAAACATGTAAAATGCTATTCATAACAGTTTGTATGTATTTAAATGTTTCTAAATAAGCTGTAAATGCAATGCATGGTATAGTTAGTGATAATCACATAGTAATAATAAGAATTGCACAATAAAAAAATTAAATGAGCAATTAAACTTTTAAAGCTCAAGCAGGATAACTTCAATCATTTCTGTGTAAGGATTTATTTACTAATTAACGAAAATAACAAAAAGTGTTTCATGCAAGTATAATTAAAATACACGTTAAAACATAAATTAAATATCAATATGTACGTATGTATGTATGTATGTATGTATGCGCACGCGTGTGTGTATATACTGTCTAATAAAATACATTTTCAATCTTATATTGTATTTTATGTAATTTAAATTGAAAAATTAAGTATTTTATTTTTATTATTTGCAAAATGTAACTTTTGTTGTAATGAGAATATTAGGATATATAACAGACATTTAAAAAGTAAACAATTGGTTATTTTTTAAATGCATGAGCATAATGCTATCAAGCCATCTGCAAATTATTTGTTTACCTCGCTGGAAGGAGATGATTGTCTGGCTGAGCTCTTCGATCATGTGAACCCGCCGCCCTTTTATTCCCATCACTGTATTTTTGTGCAAATAATTTAGAAGTAGGAAAACAATACTTACTACATATAATAGATATGAAAAACATGATGTGAGACGCATTAAAAAATAGAACTAAAGACATAGTGCGCGACAACTTAAAATTAAATTAAACGATTAAGACACCAAGAAACTATGCCACTACAACATTTTACAAAGACTTATATGACCTTTCTATTACAGTATAAATATCAATATTCTATTAAGAATAATTTAATTGTCTTTACCTTTGCCAGAATCACTGTTACGTATAACAACTTCATCTTTGCAGTAATTTTTCCCAGGAATACGAGTAGGTTTAACAAACTTGCCGCTATTTTTTATCACTTCACCAGGACCCAAGATTGGCGCCATAGTGGGTGAAGACATTGCCAAGGGAGATGATAATACATTTGTAGGTGTGTCAGGAATTGCTTCTGTCTATTAACATTATACAAGCGTTTATAGAAAACATTTACTTCATAGTGTGATGAAAGCAGAAATCAACGTACACTATCCAAATGTGATAATTTCTGTGTATAATACACATCCATAGAATCTGTATGACGCCACTGCTTAGCTCTTAACTCTATAAGTTCCAGCAGGTGAACCCTAGTCGTCAGATCTAGTTTTTCGTCCTGACTTCCATTTCTAATTGCCACAAAAGCTCTATCCAGCTGATCTGCACATTAACTCAGTATTACTAAGAAAAATGTTGAACTATTTGCATTTCAATTGACTTATACTTCTATTACAAAAATGATAGAAACAGAATACGCGTTGTTTAATTTAATACCTTTGTAAATAGCTTCTAATTGATGAGCACAAAGTTTTAGATGATTACACATTGTAATCACATTCATTTGCAGCGTTCGATCATGGAAGCCATTGGTTAGTTGCATTGCAACGTTGTCGATTAAGGACACTATGTCCTCCACTACCAAATATAATTGTTAAACTTAATAAATATGAAATATTTATATAATAATAACAGTATTCTAAACAAACGAATAAAACATCTTATTCTACTGTATGTATATAAGTTGAAAATTACTAGTCGTAATCCGCCCATCGACGGTCGAGTGGCGTTGATTAAGCTTAAGCGGCCGAGGTTTTTCGATTTTCTTGATGGTTCGAGCTCTGTTTAATTGCGTTGCGGCCATTGTATGTAATCTTAAAAAAATAAAGTAACGAATAATTATTTCCTGAATGAAGATTAAAAACATGAAGCTATTAAAACCATATTGAGTCTAACAATCATAAATTTCAAATGAATATGCTTTCACGTATTTAGAAAGTCTATAGTCCAAACGACTTCACCGGGAACGTATAACAAGCAATAAAACGATAAATACGCGTTTTTCTAACCGATTTCTCTTCAAACACAGCAACAATTTTTTGTCACTCCTACGTGCATTAACGAAGCAGGTATTCAAATGACTACTGAATTAATATGTATGCAATTATTATGTGCATTCTTGATGACTTTCGACCATTTTAAAATTAATACTCTTTCAAAAAATGTATTTGAATGAGTATAACTATTCACTTACTTGAATATTAAAAAAACTTAAATTGTTATAATATATATTCGTCACAGAAGTTGTTCGAAAACCGCGCGGTGTTGTTATTACTAAAATTTATTTTACTCTATACAGTTTCAAATAAAACCAATGACCAACTTTGTCCGCTCGATTAAAATAAATTACATTCGTTTCAGTTTTAAAATACTTTGATCACTTTGAAAAGAGCAATCTCCGAAACTCTCGATATATAGTTCTGCGCCGCGGGTGATTTAAAAATAACTACGGTAAAGAGGGTGTTTTGCGAAGAAAATAATGACCCACGACGAACGAAGGCAAGAACACACAAGTATTTAGTACTTCAATTTGAATTTGAACAATGTTCATTAGATGTGCTGGGGATGGTGCAAATCTCAGAACCTTAACAATGGCAGGTCATTTTACCGTAGTCTCGTAGCGATAAAAATAATTTATACGGTACCCATGTGAGCGCCTCTGGCACTTTCGACATCTTGTACAGTACGTTGGACGAAGACAGAAAACACACGAGGAACAAAGACAGGTAATAAGCAAAAGAAAGGAGAAAACTAGAGTGGGGAGAAGAAGGGCGGAAGACTGAAAAGTGCGAACGAAAGATAAAGAATAATTATGTTGAACACTCAAGTTCGAATGGTTTCCAGATCACAGGAGAAATGACACAAATACAATGGCTTGCTTATGAATTACGCGAGACCAATTAATTAACGCGTTTCGCTTTGACATAAAATCCGAAATCGTAGAAGCTAAAAGATATATGTATATCATGCTGCTCAAACGTTTGATACCTGGTATTTCATATGTTACTGTACTTGTCATTGATTGTTTACACTTGAATTTTTATCGTGAAAGAGTAACTTACCACCACGTCGGCCGTGCCACGGATCAACGACAGGCAGACCGTCCGAAAGAAATCGGTCAGATGTGTCGTTGACATATGTTATGAAGGTGTACCCGAGTGCCTTAAATTTTAGATTATAGTGCCAACGCAGCCTTTAAAAATAACTAGCGAACAAATTAGCGTTTTCTTTTTTTTTAGTACAAATTTGTGTACTTTTGAATTATAATGAAGGATAAATATAAAAAAAACCTATTTTTGGCTAACTAGTTTCGTAAAATGTAATTCTTGATTGTTTTGTCACTTAAGTTATTAACATTGACTAGAATTTTGTATGCCAATATAAAAATGAATATTGTTGTCAAAAATTTTTTACATTTTAAAGTCTATTTTTTAAAAATAGTATTTAAATATTTTATTTTATTTTAATTCTGGACTAGAAGGATTTCCCAAGTAAATCAATAATTGACATTGAAAACATTTTATTCAGTCAGTAAGAAGCATTCTACATGATGATGATGATGATGATCATAATGATAATGTAATAATAATCAAAATAATAATAATAATAATTAATAATAATAATTCATTTATAATAACCATTTGTAATATACAGGTAAATTCTCTCTTTTTTCTCATTTTCTCTCTTTCTCTCTCGCTCGTTCACACATTGAATTGTCATAGGACATAAATTATAGAAAATTCACCGATATAAATGAAACATTACATTCTTCAGACTATGAATGTAGTCAATAAACCATCCTTATCTCGTTTTCTTCATTTGCTGCAAAGATATCTTGTTACTTCTTTTTAGTTTCTTGTATTCGGCAGCGTTGTTGGATTTGAAGGACTACTTTAAACTTCACTGCCCACAGTGACGTTTACATGCTTTGTGCTTTTCTTTGTACATTTTTAAAAAATTCACACCTGCCAAGCAGGTTCAGAGATAACAAATCCTAGACGCGTCTCTCCATAAGGCATAATATATACGTTCGATATTATATCCCGCAACAGAAAGGCTGTTGTCCAGTGAAATGTATAAATAAACGACAACACCAACATTGTAAACGTAACTGATGCAGTTCTATTACTGTAAATCCATATTTCTATTGATTTGAGGTAGTGTTTTCAATGTAATCCTATTACTTTGCTGCTATATGTTGTGTGCGGATATGTGTCTCGTATGAATATTTTTCACACCCATACACTTTCACTATAAGTCCAAAATATGTAAAGCATAAATATATGTACATATGTATGCTTATATATATATGCGCGTGTGTGTGTGCGTGTGTGCGCGTAGGGAACTTTGTATTCAATAAACATATACAACCATAAGCATGTAAGTTCTTCCACTTTGTTGTTCTCTGTAATAACTCTTTGTTGTAAACAACATGATAACTTCTTTTTCATCGCTATGTATAAACTGTTCGTAATGTATATAAACGAAGAAATATGTTTCTATGTATATATGTATATATAAATATATACACACACGCACACACGCAAATCAGTATTTTGGACTTACAGTTACACCAGTTATAAGTGTGTTTTCAAAAATTATCATCTATGTATAAAGTATGAGAAAACCAAATGTCGGGCAAATTTTGAAACCTGTTTTCTGATATCTCCGTTTATTATTTTTTTTTGTACATGCCGTACGTTAAACGTGCATGAATCTTCCATTAAAAAGGTTACTTTGACATTAACCGTGTCAAAATCTCCCCGCTATTCAGTATTCCAACTTCATTTACCAAATACGACAAGGCTGCTGACATTAGGCTTGCTAGCACTTGTAAATAATGCCCAGCAATTGTGCTATTTTGTTAGTTTCATTAACTATTATTTCATGAATAATTTATCACATTTTAATCATCTTCACAGATTGAAAAAGAGAGGGCACATGTAACATCATGCATTACCAAGTCGACTCAATCTATGAACACTTTTGTAAAAAATATAACATCTATGGATGGTTGAGCCCTTGGTTAGCATATAGCGAATTAGTACTTTTTTTAAGGTAATGCGGATCACTTCTGCAGGAACGAGCAACGGATATGAATATCCATATACGATCTGTGTTTAAATGCATTTAACATTACCCTTCCCTTCACTTTAAAAGGAAACATTGCTTCTTTAGGTATCAAATAAGATACCCAATCTCTTTATATCTAACATTTAAAAAATGGAACCTATTTAAGCGTAAGAGACGGATACATTCCTGCAATTTGATTGTACAAACACTTTTATGCTATTTGCAGAAGTGATGTTCGCTCTAGTCTTCGTATATTAGTTTTTCTTACAATATCACACATACCCCCTCCCTAAGAAACTAAACACAGTAAACATAAAAATAGTATTTGAGAAATTGACGACATCAATTTTGAATTTTGACACATTCGTGTTATCCTTATATTACCTTTAATATAAGTTAACGACTTAAGCGAAATTAATTTTTCAAGTGAAAACAACAAATGCAATGCACGAACACATTGTTTTTTTTAAAAGAAAAGTGAAACTTAACATAAAATATGACTCACATCGAGATATAATAGCCTCAACAGTTCACCAGGGGAAAAACACAAACGAAATATACATATAATAGTAAAACTATTAACTACTTCACTACTCTAAAATAGCGAGAAAATCCTAAGACATGCGATATCGCACGATGAACATTATTCTTAGAAGTTGCAGAATGCTTTGCAATTTCTAGAGTCACTTGTCCCTTATTAAAGTTTGAATTCTTCTAATGCTTGCACTGAATGTCTTGTGATTTTTACGCTTCTGTAACAATTAATTCAATATCATCCCTCCTGCTATGTTACCGGTTTTTTTCTCTCTTCTATAGCTGGAGAATATCTCAAAATAAAGCAGAAAAATCTTCTGCCTTCAACTTTTACGTTTAACTTACAATTTTAAATCTTGGAGTCGAAATCCATTATTTGATTAATTGTGTCACGGTTACACGTAATTTTCATTTTTTTTTTATAAGTTAAGCTCGTATGTACCTTGACATTATCTTTTCATATACTGGAATATTTTCTTGCAATTCATGGAATATTTCAACTCCACAGATAAAAATTGATTTCAGACAACAATTAAAGATTAAAATCATTATTAACTATAATTATCAATTACACGACCATTAGTATGTCTTATGCAGTAATAAATTACCATCGTGCTATTTTACTTCACCGTCGACGGTTGCTTTTTTTTTAATTACTAGATGTTATGAGTTATTTAGCTTAACTTATTAACGAGTATTAATGGCATCTGCTTTTGTCAAGAAGAATCGAAGTAAATTTTTTTTGCGTTTTATCTTACTTATTAATGCTGTACGAAATTCAGCTTTTCGAACTGTTATGAGAAGCTGATTTAATGATGTCGTTTTTTCTTGAAACCTAAATAATAGTTAAAATTACATTACAAATATTGCTTTCTATTAATCTCCCTGATAAATCAACTTTTAATTAATGGAACTTACTTTTTTTAGCTTTACCCTTTTTCTGGGTTTTCCTTTTCTTAGCAGACACAGCAGATGATTCCCCAAAAGATGTAATTTCTTCCCCAAGTGTACCAACTGTAGTCATCATACGACGCCTATGTTTTTCTTGTTTTGTAACTGGCAAACGTGTCATGTATGTTTCTTCATATTCTATCTTTCGCTTATTTTCACGACCCAGACTGATTTGCTTCTCACTGAGGCCATGAGAATCTTCAATAGGTGCATCCAGATATTCTTCCTTTAATTCTCTCAAAACAGCACCTGACACTGCACGTCTGCGAGCCCTTTCTCCTGCTTTACGCATTTTTTCTGCAACTGTCTCATCTCCATCTGTAATGATAATGATGATGATGATAATAATAATAATACTAATAATATAAATATTAGTATAAATTAAATTATATATCCTTTTACCTTATAAAATTTCATTATTCTAAGCTGTAATACAAAAGATGTAAATACTAACCATAGTGTACTGCAGCAATTTTTGGTGGCACATAAACATTAGACTTCCTTGATTGTGTTGATTTAAAACCATCCACTTCGCCATCTTGATCGCTATCAGATTCCTCATCATTACTATCAATCTTGCCAATAAGTGCATCAGGATTTGCTTTAAAATTACTTGGATCGTCACTGTTAATAGTACCAGTTACAGCAGTCTTAACAAGCTTATCTATTTGATATTTAAGTTTGTGATCTATTGGTCGGATTTTTTCTAGGACAGTTCTGATTTCAATTAAACGATCGATCGATGGATCTCCTTCTATACGTTCGCCCGAACATTTTCTTAAAACTACGTAAGTCAAATTAATCAAATAAGAAAGTAACATGTGATATTTCATTTCTAAGAAACTAAGACCCTTGTCTGTGGAAATCTCTCCATTTTTTACACGAACCAACATGTTATCTACAAGCTGATTCACTTGTAGGACATTGGCATTCATCTCCCCAAGTAGACGGAATGCCTGAGGGAGATCCCTTTGCTCCATCTCATCAATTGCCTGCAAATATTCATTTTCTGTATATGAAAACAAATTTAACATTAACTATAACATTTGTAACGTGCATATTTATAATGAAGAAAAAAATATTTTATACCCTCATTTTTTGGCATAATTCAGTTAAAGGGAATGAAATATTTAAAAATAATGGATTTAGAATAAACTCTTCATTCACAAAATATTAAAACATTCGCTTCATATTAACCGAAGTCACATTTAACAAAGTCACTCTATATTTCTATGCACTCGTACACCGTACTTGATAAAAGTCTAGTATATAAAAATTTTCTACATTTCATTTATTTCAGCGTTAATCGCGTTCTATTGAAAAAAAATAATACACGCGTTGAATTCTGTTCGAAAAACTGGATCGTAACCAATGTTTTTGTACGAGTTTCACACGAAAATCCGCGGAAAGGCTTAATTTTAAGAAAAATGTCGGATCCGCGGATGCACTGGAAAAAAGCGCAATAATCTGCTGCCATCTTTCCTATTTACTAATGGATGACAGCGGAAAAAAAACAATCAAAAATTCCCAATAGACCCGATAGAAAAATGCACTGGTTTCGGCGATTCCAACAGAAATTCATATATATAATATGCTCAAAAGTTTCCACTCACCTGCACCATTGTTCTGAAATAAAAATTAACCGAACAGATGCATATCTAAATAACGTAACTTGTAATTAAACGAGTCCCCACGTGGGACGATATTTTCCTTTTCGGGGGTATATTTTTTCGCTCGGAAAACCCTGATCAAAACACTGACTATAATGTTATAAAAATGTTACTGTTGTCTATTAGAAAAGTGTCAATGAATTTTGAACAACAAGTGTTTTAATATACTATGAATTTACGGAATATTTTTTACATTGATAAGTTAGCATTTTAATAATAATTTACTTTTATAAAAGACTCACTTCCTTTTCGTTTACGAGAATAAAAAATTGCGGGAGTTTTAAGAATGAAAGTAACAGGAAGTACTTTTAATGCGATAATTAATATTTCGAAAAAGATTTTAATTGGTCACAGTTTTGTTTCTTTTACAATTAAATTACTCACAATTCTTATTTTATACATAAATAATAACTCTAATATGAATGGAATTTAATAGCCTTTGAACGAAGTGCAAATGATTAAGATCATTAGCATTCGGTGAAATATTTAGTATTTTATATCCGTTATTACATAGGTACTTACTAAGAATATAATAATACGTAACATTGCATAATTTGATTTACATAAACTTTAAGCATATCAAACAATTTACCTTATACATATACTTTTAATGTTCTGTGTACAAAATATAAACAGTTGCGTTCAGTTTCAACTAGTCAATTTTAAATAGAATGATAAATTTAAACAATTGTATACCCACTGTGTATTAAAAATATTCAAATATTTGAATATACAACTGTTCGAATATTGTATATGAATGTATTGACGTACAAATCTAATTAAATACAAGTATATATTCGAATGTTATTATGATATTAACTATTCAAAATCAAATTATTCAAATTAGTAAACTATTTAAACATTGAATTATTGAAAAATCATAACTGCATATGAATAAATATTCTAGGGAATTTCAAAAGAAATTCAATTTAATGTTGGTTTACTGGCGAATGTTTCTAAGCAAACTTCGTGTTGAAGTAAATTTCATTTTTGACGTGAACGGAGTGGGAACTCTGCGGTTGTAATCGGGAATAAAATAAGAGGCACGGCGTGGCGCGCCTTTGACGAAAATAATATCATAGAATGGTAAGTGTTATTGTATATCATATTCTAAAAGGATTAAAGACGAAGTTTCATAATATGAAAGCTTTTATTGAACTGACGTGGCGTTTTGTGTTATTAAGTCCATGACGGGAGTTTTCGTGAAGTACAATTTTATTAGTTCTTGACAGAACGTAATAACATTGTTTATCGTAGTTACCATAAAATTGCTCTAAGTATCAACGACGTTACGCTTTTTAAGCGGTTAAAACTCGTCAAATACATTTCTGTTTTATGTAATCCTACATACTTTGTGTTTGTATCATGTTGTTTATACATTTTATGTATTTATAAATAAATCGTATTTTAACGGTACCGGTTCACATTGTGAACGGGCTATTGCAAAGTATTAGATATGATCATGAAATTCAACTTTTTTGTTATTAGGGAAGATTAAGGAATAGTATTATATTTGTAATAATATCCTTGTTAATTGAAACAAATGGCTTTTATGTGCCTGGTGTTGCTCCAGTGGAGTTTAAAAGAGGGCAAAAAATTGATGTCAAAGCAGTTAAAATGACAAGCACTCATACACAATTGCCATACGAATATTATTCTATTCCATTATGTAGACCAAAAAATGGTACTCTTGTTTATAAATCTGAAAATTTAGGAGAAGTATTACGTGGTGATAGGTAAGACACATTAATAGTTTTATTTCTCAATGGGATACATTGTTCATTATATTACATATTACTATAATACACAGAATTGTAAATACTCCGTATGATGTACTCATGGCCGAAGGTATAACCTGTAGATTGTTATGTCATGGACCAAATAATCGTATGACATGGAATGAGGAAGAATCACAGCAAGTAATAGAGCGTATCCAACATGACTACACAGTGCATTTGTAAGATAATCTTAGCTGACATTGTCAATTGAATCTGAATGATTGATAAATTAATTTTATTGCTTTTTCCAGATTAATTGATAATTTACCAGCAGCCACAAAAAAAGTTCATAAGGACACAAATAATGTAATTGTGTACCATGGGTATCGTTTGGGTGGCATCATGAATGGACAGTTTTATATCAATAATTATCTTAAATTAAAATTAAGTTACCATAAATATGGAGAGTTAGTATTGATTACAATATTATACAAGCAAAGAATGCATTAGATTGTAAACATTTATTTTCATTTTATAGAAATGAATTTAGAGTAGTTGGGTTTGAGGTAGAAGCTCGAACTGTTGATGTAAATCAATTAAAGTTCGATGGAAATACTTGTATATTGCCTTCACATGCGAATCCGCAATTTGTAAAGCCTAAGGGAACTGAACTGTTGTTCCTATATTCTGTCGAATGGAAACCATCCGATGTGAGTTGGGCAAGCAGATGGGATGTATATTTGGGAATGAGCGATGTTGAAATTCATTGGTTTTCAATAATCAATTCTCTTATCGTAGTCCTTTTCCTTTCCGGTAAATATTTAAAATTTTTCATATTAATTTATATTATATTATAAATTATATAAACAATATTTTCTAAAATTATACAGGAATTCTAACAATGATTATGGTTCGAACTCTCAGAAGGGATATTGCACGCTATAATGCTGGTGAAAGCGATAGTTTAGCAGGTTTAGATGAAACAATTGAAGAAACTGGTTGGAAACTAGTCCATGGGGATGTATTTCGACCTCCACCAAACCCTCGATTATTTGCTGCTGTAATAGGCAGCGGAATTCAAATATTTTTTATGACTTTGATAACAATATGTAAGCTCAACGTTTTTAAATGAAAAGTGATTATTATTTCTAATATTATAATATTCTTTTTCGTATTCTTTCTAGTTTTTGCTATGTTGGGTATGCTTTCTCCTGCAAGTAGGGGCGCACTTGGAACTAATGCGATATTTTTATATGTATCCTCTGGTTTAATTGCTGGATATTTCTCTGCACGTCTTTATAAAACGATGCGTGGCAGAAAATGGAGAAGGACAGCACTATTGGTAAGAGCGGAGAATATTTTGTTAAACCTTAAAATGTAATAATACTAAATTATTATTTTATTTTTACAGACAGCGACTTTATATCCTGGAATTGTATTCACTACTTGCTTCTTTTTAAATTTCTTTATATGGGGAAAACATAGTTCTGGTGCTGTACCATTTACGACAATGTTAGCATTGTTATGTTTGTGGTTTGGCATATCACTTCCGTTAGTATATCTTGGATACTTTTTCGGATATCGTAAACAACCTTTCACTCATCCTGTTAGGACAAATCAGATTCCTAGACAAGTTCCTGATCAATTATGGTATATGAATCCAGTATTGTGGTAAGTTTATAATGTTCTCAGATTGAAATACCCTCATTGATACAAAAACAAAAAATCATTAATATTTTTACAGTACATTAATGGCTGGAATTCTACCTTTTGGAGCTGTTTTTATAGAATTATTTTTCATCCTAACCGCATTATGGGAGAATCAGTTTTATTATCTTTTTGGATTTCTGTTTCTTGTATTTTGTATTCTAGTTATTTCTTGTTCTCAAATATCCATTGTTATGGTCTATTTCCAATTATGCGGAGAAGTAAGTACATTGACAGAAGAAATTGTATTTCAAATTGTTTTTGTAAAATATATATATATATATATATTAACAATGTTATTTTTATCTTATTAGGATTATAGATGGTGGTGGAGGAGCTTCATTGTTAGTGGAGGATCAGCTGTATATGTCTTAGCTTACTCTGTCTTCTATTTCATGACAAAATTAGAAATCACAGAATTGATTCCCACACTTTTATATTTTGGCTATACAGCATTAATGGTGCTAACATTTTGGTTATTAACAGGTACAATAGGTTTCTTCGCGGCTTATGCGTTCATTCGGAAAATATACGCCGCTGTAAAAATAGACTAGTCGAAAAATATCGTTGACGAAGTCAATGATGAAAGAGAAGAATAATTTTTCAAATTAACAAAGAATATTTAATTATTTTTAAAGTAAATATATAATACCAAAACAGTACAATAATTTTTTCAGTCTCCATTAGTTCTATTCTTTTATTTACACATGAGTAATACATCTCAATATTGTACAGCTGTTTCTGGCTATAAAACCCTGTATTAAGGAATGAATAGAGAAAATTATAATTTAAAAAAATGTACAATAATGTTTAATAATTAATGTTTTATTCGTATAGTGTTTGTAATTTTGATTGAATACTAGATTGAAAAAAAATACTTTGCCTTTATAAAAAGTACTTACAATGTATAAATTCGTTAAATGAAGTGTTACTACTCAGAAATCATTAAGAACTACGTATTGAGAATGTATATATACACACATTCATATAAAAATATTTAAAAATGATATTAGTTACATTGACTATATTAATATTATCGTTTTGAATAGTATGAAAAAATACGAAAAATATAATAAATGTAATATCAATTATAGTCAATGTCATTATTATGGCTGATAACATTAGTTATTATGATTTTTTTTATTTTATTACAATAAAATAGTAAGATTGTACAAGTCATATGTGCAAAAAATTGTTGATACACATCCATGCATCAAATGCGTTACACTGTAAGATTAATAATATAAAATTCATGTATTTACTTCACACGTGTTGTGTGTAAACTTTATTCCTCAATAGTATGTCACACAAATTACACATCCGTTATGCATAACTTGTTTCTTAGCGTATGTACATTGTGATTAATGAATCTTCAATATTCTTATTAACTTGCCACTAAGTAAAGTGTATAATAAATAAGCAACTTTTATACATGTTAATGAAAATGTATATTACTATATTTGTGATTTTTCAATGTTCTCATGACTTCTAATGTATGTACATTTCTTAAACAGAAAAGAGAAAGTTGAAGTATGTAAAGATAGTTAAAAAAAGTATTCAAAATTTAAGAACACTGACTTATATTAATCTGATTATAATAACGAGTGACACGAATATTTTGTACTATGAATAGTGTAAATAATATGTAACTTATATTTCTAAACATATGTGTATGTATATACAAGTTTCTTAATAATCCATATTTATATTTACATATGTTAATTTATATTTATAGTTATAATCCATTAAACATTTTATCAACGTAGAAAAAGAAGTATTATATATATAATAATATATAATAATATATATATAAAAATTACTTTTAATGAAACTTCAAGAGGTGATAGCGGTATTGTCTTTGTTTGCATCTTATAATGAGGTATGTGAAGATGAAAATTATACCAATAATATAAATTTTTATCTCTGTTGATTCTGCAGGCATATAACATTTTGATACAGAATAATTGTTTGGAGTAAATACCGCCTGAAACATAAGTATTATTTTAAAAGAAATATACAATTTTTAATTCGGTAGTGTTTTTAGTTTTTAACTTACTAATAAGAGGGAAGGATTATCTTTATTCCGCCAACTAAACGATGGTATTGTAAATTCGTATATATCTCTTCTGTGTACTTTTCTACAACCATGATGAGTATGGCCATCAATGATCAGTCTTGGATTTAATATATCCAAAAGCTGTAAATTAATTATATTATAAATACTTATATTATCGTTTACAACAATTTTTACGAATTATACTGTATACTTGTTCAGATGCTTCCTTTGATAAACATTCCCATCTTTCTCTAAACTTAATGTTTTTTATATCATTTGGCGCTTGATCAAGTTCGTTGCAATTTTCGTCAGATTCACGGTACATCGGAAAATGCTGCAATTAGAAATGAAATATCAAGTGAAAAGTTTTCATTTTTTTCAAATAAAACCATTTACTGACCTGTAAAATAATTGGTCTGCTATACCTTGAAATATTATTTTTATCACAATGATTTTCCATACCTTTGGCACATTTTAGGTGTGCTGTGAAAGTATTATACTACTGCTTATAAACTTCATTTTTGGTAAGTAGTCATTTTCTAATTAAAAAAAAACAGACTTACTTGCAATTTTATTTAATGCGATTTCCGTAGAACGACATAAGAAACAACCATCTCCTTCTAATGCCATGCTATTTATTAAAACAAAGTGATTCCCTCTTATAGTAACTCTTTTCACACTTGGTGATTTTAAACCATTCACGAATCGTTGATTTAAGAATGGTGTAATAGCTGTATAAGTAGATCTCCTATTAGGAATATTTAGGATTTATAAGCAATTTATGGATTTTATGTATTTATGATGTACACAAGTGTATCAAAAATAATAAAATCCAAATTTTAATGAGGCTTTCATAGACTTGTCATTTTATATGTGTCTAGATAAAACCTTTAAATGGAAAAGTAAATTTCTAATTAATTCTGATTATTAAAAAAGATACTCAAAAAATTTAAATTTACACAAAGATCTTCTAAGAGAGTAAAAAATATTTTATAGTACCATAATGAAATCCAATATCATGATTTCCAGCAACAACATAAAGATGAGTGTTTTTAGGCACAGAGAATAATGAATAAAATCTTTGAATATATTGGTTAAATTCTGAAGAGCTACTCCATTGTCCTTCATCAAATAAATCACCTGTTATGATACATTAACACATTATTATAATTATTTTAAAAAGTCTTAGTAATATTAAATTATTTACCTAAAACAAAAATTATGTCTGGTTTATGAAGTGTAACTGTAGTCTGAAATGTTCTATACATTTGCCATTCCCTAAATAAAAAATTGATTGTAATAAAAAAAACTAAAGTATAAAATAAGTGCTTATAGAATCTTTTAAAAAATTATTATAGTTATGGGTAGTATGAACCTTTTTAATTTGTCAAACCAATGTCCTTTTTTGGGACCTAATAAATGAGTGTCTGCTATAAACATTGCATGCACAGGAATTTCTTCTGCATCTGGTTTAGAAATTGTCACATCTTGTTTGTTTGGATTCAAAGTGGGCCAGGAACACTAATGGTAAAAAATATATTATTGAGTTAAATTGTTTAAAGCTTACACAACTGACAATCATGTAGCTTACCTGAATAAGTACAATGTAATATAGAACATATTCACAGAAAATAAATATACATAACAAAGCTATAGCAGCTTCAATCAAATATTTTTTATATGAAATTGTTCTTCCGTCTGACATTTTATTGCACTGTGAATAATTTTATCTAAAGAGTATAATCAGTATTTAGAGTATTATCAGTATTATCAGTATTTGTAGCTGGTACCAGTCAATCGTGCGTAAAAAATATTGAGTTATGCGCATGTAACTTTTTGTAAGTGGTATAAACGTTTCAGTTTTTATATGTCTGAATCCACCGTGAAGTGTATGGGACTCTAGAGAACCGTCAATAGGAAAACTACAGCAAGTAAAATGATCGAAGTTGATTAACTAGTAACTATGGTAAACCAGCATACAAGCGTATCTTTTGCAATGTTACCATGTCTTCAAATTCCCAATGCGCGAAACTATTTACCTACTACAGGTAGATACCACAAGAAAAAGGAAGTACATGCAAAGTAATTTATAGAATAATCTTAATTTCTTTATGAGTATAAAAAATATAATATTCATTAAATATAATACTTATATTATAATAAATGAGAATTTTATATGTATGAAATTTCGTGTCTGTGTTTCTACATTACCGACACTGCCAAAAATAGCTTACTGTTTTAGCAGAATCCATCAAAGTGTGGTTATGCCGACACAGACTATAGATGTATATGACGAATTATTGTTACCGGCAAGGGATGATATACTTATGCATACTTACATGTATACAGTGTATACGGTTTATTTGTGAACAGTAAAATGTCTTAAAAAATTTGAATAATACGAAAATATGTTCCAAACGAAAGTTGTAGGATATAGAGGAACACATATAGTGATTGTATGTGTTTGACCTTGTAGTAGCCTTGGAACTATGTTTCATTACCTGTACATTTTGTATTGAACATTATGAAAGGGTTGACTTGAAAACTTACCGTACACGAAATAGAATCTCGAAATATGCACTTCCAGATGCAAATGATCTGAATAAAAAGAATCAAATTGACACGTTGAAAATACCCAGGCTTCTTTAGTTTACAGGACCGAAATTAATGTCATTAATTAATTACTTATCGATACTTCCATTACATTAAAATTTCACTTATCGATGAATTTGTTATTTCTTATTTTTTCTCTTTAATAGTTATAAGAAATGCTATAAAATATTTTACAATGCTTTTCTACACATTTCCTCATTTATTTTTCATGAAAATCGGATTAATTAACAGATATCAATTTGCAAAGTAATTTACTGTTTATTGTTATAAACATCGGGTATTAAATTGAATGTGATTCAAAAGATCCTATAAATATACTTTTCGTTTTTTTATTTAGAAAGACAATAATAAATTGTACAAATTATACAAAATTCCGAAAGAAAACCGTCGTTGGTGCAAACTATATCGAAGGATATTTGGTTTTACATAGGGATGTCAAGGTCTACGTACGACATCAAGGGAATCGTTCGATACGAATTATTCGCCAACAAGCATGCTGACAACCTAAACATATTAGACCGACGATTTTTTGTTCACTTAATCTTAAATTACTTTAATATTAATGGTATCGTATTTTGTTTTTAATTTATAGACACTGACGTAAATTCGATTTATGCTCGATGTAAATGGAGAGATTAATGGCGATTAGATAGCGACAGTTCGCAAAATGGCAATGTTTTCCAACGAACTATAAATAAGTTATAAAATATTGCTACGTATACGCTAGTAGTATAGAAAGCTTTATCGACTGTTACTGGTTAGGCCATTTTCATTGCGTTCTATCTGGTTCTGGACTGCAATTTCTGCTGATCGCTTCTAAACATATGGGAACCTTTGGTACGAATGCAAGAAAAGCAATGCTAAATGATTACTGTGCCTTTACAATTGATCTTCGAAATTCCTTTACCTCTGAACATCCATTTACAAATAAGTTTTCGCACAAAATACAAGAACACTCGAAAGCACATATAGAGACTAATCAAAATATAAGTAGATACGAAACGCTTAATAGCTAGGTTAATATGAAATAGACATAGAAACGAAAATGAAGGAACTTCGAATATTCAAGATACGTAACGATTGCGTTTTAAGAAAATACTTCGATTTCTGAAATAACGATAAAAGTGACATTTCCCGAGATGGATAAAACTATTACTGAAAGAGGACTAACAGTTGTATGTAATTCAGTCTTGTACAGTTATAGATATATCTTAAGTAAAACTTAGATATCTTGTTATCACGGTGGTTCGCTGACTCACCTTACCTTCACTTTCAATAAAATCTAATAATGGGAGGGATTGGGTCACTTTATCTGCACGTAACTCATCTAACCCTTCCAAGGCGAACTGTTTTTTAAAAAGCATGCAACAATTATTCCGTCGAAAATAAAAATGAATGTCACCGAAATATTCTTCGAAAACTGAATTTATCGTTCCGTTAGTCGTGAAAGGGTTAATTCTTTCGTGCGTTCACACTGGCATGAGAGAAAAGACGTCTGAACGAAAAGCGATTTGACCAACCGGAAACTATAATCTGCTTGTGATTATGCGTACAAAAAACAATGCAAAGTATTTTCCACTTACGCGATCTGTCCTCGAAATAACCTACCACATTTTTAGAAGCGTTCCGCGCATCGCGACGCGTCGTATGGAAAATTGTACAAGGAGCATAAATCCGGATTCCTTGCGCTCACGAAACAGAATGGTCTTGCGGAATCGTTATTTTCTTCTTTCTTTCTTTATTTTCTCTTCTTTTGTTAATCAACTCGTTCCTTACATCTAACATACACACTCATATGTAAGTAACTGGCTAAAGTGTAAATGCAATTCGATCGCGGATATGATCTTCGTTTGTTATTTTAGGTCGTAGGACAGCCATTAGTTTAAGTTAGTACGTTTGCGATTCTTTATTCAACTCCTCCGTTTCTTCCCTCTCGTTCCCCTTAAAAGTAAAATTATGACTTCCGACGGGGATCCTTGTCGCGACTTCAAGAATCTTATCTCGCGACAGTAGTCTCTAAAGTGACTGGACGTTTATCGCGACGCGGAGACCCTTAAATGACGCCCTGGGATCGGGACGTCCGAGTGTTCGCAGGCAAATAATCCCCGACGGACCAAGAATGCGAGCGATCGGTATACGACACACTGATGAACGATGTCTACTGACGATCAGTCTTGTTTCTTACAAAGAGAACGGAAAGTCGTGGTGAAGCGTTGACTAACGACTCGCGATTATGGATTATAACCTTTGGAGTTAAAGATAGATTTTACGTGTTTCAGTATTTTTCTTTTTTCTGCTTTTTCTTTTCTTCTTATTTTCTTTCTTTCGAAACGAGATGATCGTCAAATTCTTATCCCCCGTTAGAGGAACAACCCGTTGGAGCTCGTTTCGATTCGCCGACCGATCCGCCCGAAATTCATTTTGGTGCGACCAGCGAATCGCTTCTGTTTGTCGTTCGGTTGAATCAGTAGGCTTTAATTTTTCATCAGCGTGTCCAAGTACTCTATATAATCATTCTCCGACATTTCTTCCTCGTCCACCGCGGCCTCGACGCTTCTCCTCCTCCTCCTCGCCGGCTCGCTAGTCACTTCTATACAGAGCAGCGCGAACTTATTATCGCAGGAATAACGAACTTGCTCCAGGAGCCGTCCACCCGTCAAAGGTGATCCTAATCCATAACGATCGGAACTGCTCGAGTGCCAAGCGTCGCAATACGTGTCCATTGCTCGGTCCCCTAATTTGTGCGATCCGTGCCATGCCACCTTCTCCGGCCTGAAATAAAGTTACAGTTGGAAGTTTTCCTTTTGTTATTTATTAGTTTCGTTGACCCCTTGGCACTATCATTTCGCTACTGTATCGACTGAAGGTACTTTGTCATTAATTATCCACCAAAAAGGAAATCGACATTTATCGTTGATCTGTATTACGCTATATGGCGTTTAATTGGATCTTTTGCATCCTGTGACCATATATACATAATTTGGTACGTAAATCTTTGTTTCTTTCTACAAATAAATTTAAATTATAACCTTGAAACTTGTCGATATCGTCATGAGATTAACGAAAATGATTCAGTTGTTTTCTAGACGGGTCATTTGCAATGATAATCGCATGTCTCAGAAAATATGATTATTAAAATGTTCCTAATTGTAAAATCTGCTTCTCCAGAAATACTTTCCGTAGCTCAAGGGTTCAACGAAACAGAGGATCTTTCGTGAATATCGGAGCGAATAATTACCATGCGAAATCAGTGAGGATATTCTTTCCGTTGAAACTGTAGATTCTAGGATTCTGCGAAAAGTACGCTCCGTTCCCGTTGAACATTTCCTTCCAAGAATTGAAAAGGACGTCGCCCTGGACAGTTAAAAAGCATTTCGTCAGAGAACAGTTCGCCGTTATCGGTGAAAATTGTTTTCTTCGTTGAACGCGGTCGACTGCCGGATCAGTTTTCTGAATGAAACTGAAGGAAAACGAGAAGTCAACGTTTCTCATGATTATTGTACCTCGTGGGTCCAACGAGATTTTCATTCGTTCGATGCGCCACCGAGGAAATTGGTTTTCGAGTCCGTAGAGAAAGTCATGTGAACCGAATTTAGGTGGCGCGGCTGTCAAAGCGTTCAACGTTTACAGGGCATTTGCGGCATTCAAATAACTTTCGATTACCAATTACCTTTATGTTGACGATAGGTAGGTCTCTATCTCCGAGTCTCACTATGCTGTCGACGTTCTGCACCCTAGAGCTGAGGAATGCACGGAACGAACCTCTCAGACCTGCCCGTTTTGCTTGCCGATAACAATCGTAATCGGCTCCCCGCACACCGTGCATGTCCCCGGTGAACGGTTCGTTCAAAGCGGCCATTCGTAACTGGAAATCGCAAGACGGTTCTAATTAATCTTACCAATCATTGCGCGGGCAAACGAAATATTCGAAATTGTTCAAACTTCAGTTGTACTGTGTTTCTACAACTTGTTCACCTTCGACGCATAAATCATCGCAAAAGTGTTCGAAAAATGGAGGTCCAGAACAATTCTAATTTCCATGTAGATACAACGAATTGTACATAGGAAAACAGAAACGTATACGCGATCTTTCACTTTTCAAATCTGTGTTTCTCTAATTTCCATAACCTCACGAACGCCGAAGAAATGTCGGAGAATATTGAAACATTTGTTAAAATATTGGTATCAATTCGCGTCGATTGTTTGTAGGAGTTAGTGTACAAGCGAAGGATCTATAAAAATTTTGATAATCGATGGGTTTGTGATATATAGTTTCTTTTTAATAAAACTCTTTTAATTACGAGGAAAGTAGAGTTTTTTCTTCCCAGGAAGAGTTTTAGCGAAACGGAAAACGCGAAAATAAAGAAGATCGTCGCGTGTGCCCGGTTAAAATTGTAAGTCGATCGGATAAATTGTTTCCGAGTAATCCCAGGGATGAGTCTGCAAAAACCGATACCCGGAATAATGCGATTAAAGTTTAAGTACCATTTCGGTAAGCTGGTCGGTTTACGGTAAGAAACAAATATGTTCCTATAAAGCCCCATTAGGCTTCCGTTATTACATTGAATTATTTATCATGAAGACAGTAATGCATCCGCAAAGTATAGAAATTCAAGAAACATAAAAGGAATGAGATTCAACATTCTTTTTCGTCAGCTCTTCGGACAAGGGAAGTTACCGAACTCGCACATTGAACAAATTATGAAACATTGTCTATAAGTAAAGTAAATTTAATACGTTGTAATTTTTTTCGCGAAACCACCCCTTCAAAGTGAATTTCAGCAAGAACAAAAATTGCAATGTATTAGGTTTGACTCACTTTACTTACACACAAAGTTTCATAATTTTTCCAATTTCCGGATTCGATAACTTCTGTGAATCCATTCATTAATTAAATATCGTGCAATGACTGCAACAGAGTGTTTCACAAAAACGTTACACGTTAATAAAGTTATTCTCCCGTAAGACGCAATTATCATCTACATTTTCAATTTCAAGATTGAAATTCTGCTGTGACGCCAATAAGATTATTGTAACTGGCATTCAATGTAATCCTTTGTACAGAGAAGAAAAAGGCAACGAATCGCAGAGGTAGATACACTGTGACGATAAGTGGGACGAAGGTGAGCGGAAAATCAATTTTCTATGTGTGCGTTCGGTGCTTGGAAGTGCATATTAAAAAATTAATTGCGTTCGCGACTTACCATTCGAGGGTACCACTTAGCAGGCGGAAAGAAAATCCAAATTGAATTAGGTAACGTATTGGCTCGTTTTCTTCTGAATAATGTTTCACGTTAAATAGGGTCAAGATGGTTACTCACCCCTGTTCCATCTGCTTTCACGGGTATCTGGTTGATCAAGTTGGAAGCCTCGAAAGGTGGATTTGCCGGGGGCGGTGACGTGGTTGGTGGCGCCGGAGTGGTTATAGGTAAAAGCGAGCCCAGCTAGATAAGTTTCGAAATGGCATTACGTTCATTTATATAGCATTAACGCATCTTTAAAGGCGTGAGAGAATAAAAATGCTGTAAATTTATCAGGTGATTTCAAAGGTTCCGAGATCTTTGAGGTTCCTTCTTAGAGACACTTTGTACTGCTCCTATTTTTTATTTTCAATGAAAAAATAAGAGATCATGTTTTCCTATTTTTAGTGAAAAATAAGAAATCTTATTTTCCTATTTTATTTTTTCTGCTTTTCAATGAAAAGATAAGGAATTGGTGCTGATTTATCAAATTCAAATCGAATGTACGATATTCTTCTGGATTCGAAAAATGTACAGCTAATAAAGCGATAATCGCGATGATACGAGCAGAGAAAAAATATGAGATTTGCGATACTAACTGCAATATATTGCCAGCCGTTGTTCACTCGGACAAGCAACGCTTGTTCGTCGATGATGTACGCAAGCGTGCCAACTGGACTTACAGCGGACATCTGCGGAACAAGGGTTTTCCATTAAATATGATTATTAATTCGATTTCTTTGAATTACACATTTTCACGAATCGAAGATACAGCTACCTTCGTCATGGCCTCCGTATTTTGGAATGTCACCGCTCCCGGTACTATTTTCGTGGTGCTCTCTACAGGACCTCTCGTTGCAGCGTTCGCAGTGTCTTATTACAAAAGAATGGTTAAAATAAAATATGTATACACAGTAATGTGATACACGAAATAATATATAAAAATGCATAAAAATAATGAGAAGTTTTAGAATTTAGAAACACTTGAACATACGTTCAGAGATTTATGAGTAGAACTTTTTTTCGGAAGATTAATGAGATATCTAAACATGCGTGCAGTAAAATGGTAACACACTGATTCTCGAACGAAAAAGATCTACAATATTTTATCTTAACGTGTTTTACCTAAGTGTTCTTTTAATTGTTTCAGTTGCTTCAGTTCGCGAAGAGCCAACAACTCGTCCAGACTAGATCTGAGCCCTTGCAGTGCAAAAGAAACGTATACTTTTTAATTGAAGTTTCCTCGCCATGAGACATTTACTGTATTGTCAACAATGTATTTTCACGTTTGGTTGGAAAAGATTAAGCATAAACGTGCGGTGTTCATGTTTGCAATAATAGTGAAATAATTTCGAATTATTTGGTCACGGGAATGAGATTCAACGATGTTAATAACAATTAACATTCTTTTACCTTGCCTAACGCCGTAGTAGTCCCTTTCACCGAAAATATGACTTCTGCCGATTCCCGATTCCTCTTTCTGGCCAGCCAAAGACATTCCGGCTGGTCCCGGTGGTCCTGGAGGACCTGGCGGCCCTGGAACTGGAATGTAATTCCCTTGAGACGGTGGTCCAGGCGGTCCAGGCTGTCCAGGGGGTCCTGGAGGTCCTCTTTGACCGTCCCTGCCTGTTTGTCCGGGAATACCAGGAAAACCGTTGTCTCCCTTCTCGCCTTTTATCTATGTCGTTGAAAAATAAAATATAAATTTCGTATTCCACATACGGCACAAGCAAAGGGGAAACAAATGAATGTGATTCGTTAAGAATTTCATCGTACGTTTACTTCGATCCTATTCGATTGCATTCTCATTAAATCTTATTGAATTGGTATTAAATTCTCGTATTAAATTTTACTCCTATTAAATTTTCGATGTAAGAAACAAGCAACTTCTGTTTTCGTCGAGGTTTTATTAAGCATTTATTAATATTCCGCAATGAAAAGCTTAGAGCCTCAGAATACCGCGAACGGTATGAATAAAAGGACAATAATTATTTATATTTTATTTAATTTTAATTTTATTAATAAAATTTCGATGAAGTTTCCATCTATTTCAGGCGACAGTTGCAGTAAATTTTTATAAAACATTCTCAATGTTTTCCGGGTTCCGTCGGAACGAACAAACGAAGCTATTTATATAGGTTAATGGAATGGGAGTCCGCAGTGATAAATTGGAAATCGGAATTGGAATTGGAATGCGGAATAACTAGTAATTAGAACGCGAGAACGTTATTACACCTTCTCAATTTCGGGCAATTATATTTGCCACCGGGAAATAAAATCATACACAATTTTAGAGTAATAGTTAATTGCATCAATAAATCGTCACTAAAGGATGTTCAATCAATCTTGCGATAGATTGAAAATTTTCAATAAACAAAAACTAAAAAAATTGAGCAATTTTCTGTCATCATTTCCTTTATTCGTCGTACTTTATTCGTCAGTTTATTTCACACATTTAATATAGAGTACCGCTTCTTTCAACGCTCCACGTGCAACAGTTTTAAAGCCAAATGTGCAAAATGCCGAAATGGGTCCAACGTGTTTCTGATCTTTAATGGGTAATAACTATAAATAGCAACTTACGATGGAACGGAAGTCGAATTTGAATCGTTACGTAACTCCTTACATAAATCCTCACATAATTTAATCCCGATACGTAATCGGATTACATTTCGCCCAACGCTGCCGTAACCTTTAAGCGACAAGATCTCTAATTCCATTTCCCTCGATTCATTCGTTCGGGAAAGATCGTTCACTCGGTTCTTTCGTACTCGAAACAAATAATTCTTAGTTTAATGTGTTCACACATTTCTTTGAAACTGGTAACTTCGACTTTCCATCGAATCACCTTACTGTCCATCGAATAAGTTTACTTTCATGTATTTCGGAATGCTGAATTCAAGTTTGACCGCAGAACTCAGCCACACGTTAGAACATCAAAACCGAAATCTTTTTCGGACAAATTAACTTCGATCAATTCTCCCAAGATCCAAACTCATCCACCGCGCTTCGCGCATATTTTCCCTTATTCTGCATTTCACATGCAATTGAAAAAGGGAAACAACTCATCGCTAAATTTTAATTTTACCAAAAGCTCTTTAATTCCAGTGAAAAAATAACTGAACGCTGGTAGGTACCGGCATAAATTAATTACGGCATCTACTACGTGTGCGCGAGTGCGCAATAAAAGCGTCGGCGGTGCCTTATGTTCGCGCCGCTTTTAAACCAAAGTGTAGTGAATTAAATTCTGCCACGAGCATTCGGCGGCGCTTGTCAGTTGTCACGGGCGTCGCCGGAACTTTCCGATGAATTTCTGTTCGCCGTTCTGCGCCGCGTATAAATCGGGTCGTCGCGTCGCTTCGGTGGCCGATAAAGATGGGGCGGTGGGGAAAAAAAAAGAAAAAGGAGAAAGGAGGTGGAGGCGTCAAACACACACTTGTATTAATTTCCGTCACAGCCGTCTTTTTACTGTGCAGCTCTCTCGTTCCGAGTCAATCCTAAAAGCTAAAAGTGCATAGGGGCAGAGGGAAGTCTGTTTTACTTCCGAGTTCCTGCCATGAAGACCTATCACGAAAGGCCTTATGGGCGCGGGATTGGGATGAGGCCCCGTCAGCCGAGGCAGAAGCCTTACCAACGTAGCTTTCTGTAAGATACGATTTTCTGGGCCACATAAAATGGTAAAACGTGCTTGGGTAACACTTTTTTTACTTTGATTTCACTGTTTCCCTCACGCTTTTCCTCAAGAAGGCACGGATTGACGAAACGTAGGTGATTAGCGTACGATTTTTCCTTCAGTAAAATTGTTTTACACTCTCGGGGACGACGAGTCCCATGGAAATAAGTGCTATTCGCTTCTCACATTACGACCGTCGATTTGTGGCTAAAAAGTGCACAGGGACAAGGGGCCTCTTAAGGGGCCTCGTAACACAGGAAGGAAGCGGGACCAAATGCGACGAAATGAGACGCACTACAGAGAATTTTGTTTTCTATCGTTACGTCTCACTTCATCGCATTCCTTTGTTCTGTTTTCTTTCTTTGTCACGCGGCTAAGTTAACGACATCAACTGTTGTTCTGTAGCCATTGACGCGAGCATCCTGAGTGGAAGAGTCCCCTTGCCCCTGTGACTTTTTAACTTTCAGGATTGGTTCAGGACGCAGGAGCTGCACAGTACTTTCTCCTTCGACGAGAGTGTTAGCGGCCGGTGATCTACGAGCAATGCTACATGCGCGCGGTTGCAACCCACTTGGTTGTTTCGAGTAAAAAATGTTCCGACCATTCGAACCTATCCCCCAACGGTACACGGGAACGTCGATTTTTTTAAATAAACTGGTCGGAGAAAACTTTGGTCCGGTGGTTGCGAATGAAAATACGCGAAAAAATATTGGTGGATTTAACACGTTTGCTTTGCGTTATGGAGTACGCGAAGGCAATCGCTGCGCGCACCTAATGAGTTGTTGTTTAAGTATAATGAAGCTGGACAGTGTTGTAAAATAGCGTAATGGTTGAAATTGAAGTTCGTTATGATTGGTAATGGTGGTTTTATAATGGAATAATAAACCAGTTTTTATTTAAACTAATACAATAGGTAAACACGACGTCTGCATGGTACGAAAACTCGGGACGTAATGAGAACTACGTTAACTTGTTTTCTAAGTATGGCCACGGAGATCCGTTTTTCTTTTTAATGGATTATAGTTTTATCCGCAGAGTCGAGTACACAGATGACTGTCATCGTCAATTCTATTCTTAATAAGTAAAATGTGTTATTGTATATTATGAAGTTTGTGTTCTTTTTAATTAATTCGTGCGAATTGTTTGCGATAAAAGAATGAAAGCGAAGGAATGAGAGTATTTTACGCGAGATGAAGATTAAATCCTGTTAGTAACTTCAAGTGCAGTCGAGTCAGCATGGTTTTCGTTGTTTCACTTTTGCCGAGCGTGTATTTGATTTTCTAAAAAAAAATTATGTATTCCGGCGACCGGGCGGGCAACCATGTTCACGCGGTATTTCTCATTAAAATGACCTGTCCGACAATCTCGGAAAGTTAGCAACAAAGGTCATAGATTACCATGTACATCTCTACTTTAACCAGTCACTCGGTCGGTGCGCGCAAGATAATGTATGCATCCATTAACTTCATTTATTCCACGTTGGAGGACCTACCATTTTCTTCTCGTCTTTTCTCCTTACTTTACACGTGTGAAAAGCCAGGTAAATTAACCTGTTTTGCACTGTTTCGAAAATGTTGATCGTGGAAGCGTTTAATTGTATCACCGTTATTATCGATACCATTTGCATTCATCTTTTTAACGACGATTTTATTTGACACGTCGACTGCTATGCAAATCTTCGACGTTCAATGTATCATCAATTCCTTTGTAGCGAAGATAAAAATGAAGAATTATTAATTATTCGTTGACGCAATTTTTACGTTACACCATTATGTAGTTATTCTACTGAATATGTGTATTCGACGTCAGTTATCTCACAAATGATAATTATTTTCTAGTAATTATGAAGCTCCAGTCATCGATGACCATTGTGGCAGTCAATGTGTTAAGAAGAGAATTAAATACCTATTACTTCAATATACTTCAGATAAAAAAAAAATGAGAAGTACACAAGAAACAGAAAAAAGGACGTCAAGCATTGGATCGAGTAAAATTACGTTTCCGTAGTAACAATGGTGACACTATTCGGCGAACAAAATATCAAAAACAAATAATGCTGAATTAAAAAATAAATAAAACTAAATGTTCCAAGTGATTTATCTTGAACAATATAACGTATCAATGAATATCTATCCGATAAATTCTCGTGATATCCAAAATATTTTATCAATTACGTTCCCATAGTAACAATAGTAACGATTCCATTCGACGGGCAAACACTAAAAATAAATAATGCTAAATTAAAAGCAATGAGACTGGAACTGGAAGCCATTGAGTGACGATGAAAATAAACATTCTCTGTTCGAGAGTTGCTCGTTTCGAGACTCGAACGAAGTGGGTAAGTACATATTTGACACGATATATTGGAATGAGAACGACGTTAATCTCTCTTGAATACGCGCAACCTAAAATTCCTGGCGAGTGTCAACTATTCGAAGCACTGATTCTGATGAGAGGGACGGTAAATTGTACTTACACCGACGGGAACTCCGTAAGGGCTCGGCGTTCCGGGCTCTCCTTTTTCTCCCTTGGGTCCTGCTGGTCCAACAGGTCCGGGAAGTCCGGGAGAACCAGGATGGCCCTGTTAGAGATGGTTACCGATACATAACGTTCATGTTCCACCTTCTGCCTATGAATATTCTACGTTCATTAACCCTTTAATTAATCTCGTGCGCAGTACGAGTAGTCTCTACCAAACGCTCGCCCCATTACTGAGATTTCTAATTTCGCCGGATAATTATTACACTTTACATCATTACCCGGATGCGATCAATAGGACCGTGTGATTTGATATTATTATTAGATTGATGCTGAAATTTCTCCCTGTAATGGATTATAACGCACGCTAATTAGATATCACGAATAACACGGTGATCTCTCTTAAGGTAATTTAATCAGATTTTTAATCTGATCGAATTGTTGTAATGTTAGACCCTTGTTAATTCTGGTAACAAATTATTCGCTGTTTTAATCATTATTTATAACGATCCATTAATTTACGTTAATAAGATGGAAATACGGTGGCGTATTAATACGGACTACAAATATATAAATATTGAACTGACGTATAAATATTAAAATTGAGATTGAATTTGGGATAGTTAAAGGCGAAAATTTTCAGCGAGTAATAATATTTAAATGTCATTAACGAGGACAAGATTCGTTTGGTGTCTATGAAGCTTTTCAAAAATCACATGGTCTCACAGCGCAGGCCGTTTTTAACGAATCGTTAATCGCTAATTATTATCAAACTATGTATATAATACTTACTTTCATACTGTTCTGTGTTCAGCATTCGAAAAAGAGAATCATAATTTTAGAATTGTACCTCTCACATGCGACAACACAAGCCACAACGATAATCATCATCTAAACTCGCGATACCAACATCACATTTCTTACGCACTGCTCAACGAACACAGTAGCAAGCATATACAATTTTGCACAAAACACGAGAAAGAAAAGCACACGAATCGGTACTTCATAAAAATTCGTTTCCTTGTTTCCATTTTACACGAAGCACAGAAGAAACATCTCTTTTTCTAATACCAACGACTACGAAATATTCATCAGAACATCGAAGTGACTATCAAATAAACTATCGACGCTAGTAACCAAAGAGAACTATCGATCGCTAAAAATTCCCTTCCGCGAATCAATTACTTACATTTCCTCCTTACGTTTCATCTAACATCTGTTCATCCATTCACAGCATTAACCCCTTGCCCTACAATATCGCGCCAGACTCGTGGTGAAGATTCCAAATAGAATTTAACAAGCATCAATATTATTCAATTCGTTTGAATTCAAGTTACATATTATCCCTTTGTTACTAATGATTACACCTTAAAGGAAACGTTGACATAGAATAAGACTGGAATTTTCGCTCATTTCCAATAAATTATCAATTACAAAGTAGTTAGATCGATCGCAGTTCACAAAGAAGTCATAGGACAAGGGGTTAAGAAAAACCCAAAAACGAAATATTCATGTCTTCTAAAAGCTCAATGGAAAACTTTATGGCGGATTGATCAGTCTATGCCGTCCCTGTAACCTCTCTACACGCGTGTGAAGTGTATGATAGAACGACGAGATTGATCGACAGGAAAATAGCAAAGATTTTCTCATACCACCCATCCAGGCAACCCAATCTCTCCCATAACTCCCGGCTTCCCGGGTGGTCCCACAGGACCTGCTGGCCCCGGGTCGCCTGCTCGTCCTTTTCTGCCTCTCTTGCCCTCCGCGCCTTTTTGGCCCTTGACGGTGATGTAGCCGGCGGAGTTCGCTATGGCGGTCTCGCCAGGAGGACCTCTCTCACCCCTCTCGCCTTTCGCGCCAGGGACACCCTGCGTCCCGGGAACACCATCCTTGCCAGGGTCACCTTTGTTGCCCTGTGGTCCTTGAATGCCGTTCACGCCGGGAATTCCGGCCGGACCATAGTCACCCTTGTCTCCCTTCTCGCCTTTGGTACCCTTATCGCCTTTGTACCCGCGTCCCCCAGTCTCGCCCTTCTCGCCTTTACCTCTGAACCCTAACGAATCGCGAATAATATATGAGAATGTGAGACGGTTCGAAATGACCGGTTTCTAATGTCTTATTTTTGCAATTATTAAAAAGCAATTATTATTATTGTTATTTGCAATTATTTTTATTTTGCGGTGTAATATTAATATTTTTCGATATGGATTGTTTATTCATTACTGTTTGAACTGTAGAAAGCAATGTGTTAATCAGAATAAAGTTTATTTTGTAAATAATTTCGTTCTATTCGATTGGTTTTTCGTCTTTTTTTTCTGGAATTAATCTTACAATTGCTGTAAATGATTATAAAATTTTATATCGTTTTCTCAGGTTTAATTTATTAAAATTGCTGGGGGTAGAGATTAAATGTTATTCGCCTCTGGCTTCTTTCAATTGTTTCAGGGTATTTCGATTTTGCATAATGAACCGCGACTTAATGATTCGTCGCGCGTTTATTCATTATTTCTTAGAGATTTTTCATTTCATCTGTGTTCCATCAATTTTAATATTCTTTTCCAGTTCATATCGGATTTATAGGGAAAATGAATTTTTACCTGGGAAATTAGCGCATCCAGATGGAATTCGAGCAATTCGTTTGCCAATGTGTATACGCGCGTATTGGAGAAATTTTTGAACTGTTAGTTTTCAAAAATGAAACTTTATAAATAAGAATTCCCTTTTCAATTATCTCTTTGTATTTAGATGGAATTGTAGTTTAATTTTATAATTCAAGTTATTGTAAGCGTTAAATTATAAAAATAATTTGTGACTGAGATTAAAAATATTCGCGCCTTTCATTTCAGTGTCAACAGGCAGCGAGCAATGTGACACACATGGTTCCGACGTTAATAAAGGTTCTGCCAAATGTAACTGTTGTTTTACCAAACGAGCCACAAAGTGGAAATGTTCTCTTCTAAGTAATTAAGTGTAATCATTAATCACTAACTACGTTACTCTGTAGACATTAATCATGCTATGCTTTGTGGAACTCTATTGCACCACTAACCAGTATTGAACATACATATGTCCTTCGGGAATCTTCTATTTTAAAAAGTCGAGAAACCAATTTCACTTACGTTTTTTTGAATCTCCACACAATTCAAATTGCTACGTATCGTCAAAACTATTTCATACAATTCACAAAATTCCTAGATTCATGAACATTTGGAAGTTTCACCCTCGATGATTACTTTTTTAACACTTGCACTCTAAAGTTTGTACAATTTTGATATTATCAAATCAATTTATTAAATCATTCCTTCGAAACGTATCTATATTTTCCCAATAATTTCAAAGGAGGTAACCCAAATTAGATCATTTAGTTCTATCAAACAGTTAAGTAAGGTAATTCCTTACGAGATGGCTGGACGTTGTTTAAAACGTCGAATATATTTTCAATTGTTTTTAATGGTACACTGAATCTTGCACAGATGCTTATTTAACTATTCTCCGTACATATAATTTACTTTAATTAATAAATCTCGTTTTGTTAGATATTACTGATATTTATGATGCAATAGTTATTTCAAAAAAAGTGGGCCATCTCTCTCCCACTTACCCTAGCTGTTGAACAAAAGTCAATTGTAGTGTTAAAGATAAAAAAAAATTCCAAAGATTATTCGAAAAGGATGGTTATAAACCAGAATAACATTTCTTCCTTTACAGAAAAAAAGTTACCTTACATGGGAACCTTTGCAACCATCACATGCCGATTTTGATGGAACTTATAGACGTAGTTTTCAACAAAATATTTGACACGTATTTTTCCTTATCGGCCAATATCCAGTTTGACCGAGTGAAAACACTTCTCAAAGTTGAGGGGTTCAATATCTCTGAAACTAGGGGGTGTAGAAAAGAAACCAAATTGTTCATGCCAAGGCGAACAATTTAAGCAAAAATTTCTTTTCCACATTCCCTAGTTTCAAAGATATAGTAAAAAATATATTTTTAACCCTGAACTTTGAGGAGTGTTTTCACCGCTTCAAAGTGGATGTTAGCCGACAAGACAAAATACGTGTCAAATATTTTCTTGAGAACTACATTTCACATAAGTTTCAATCAAAATCGGCGTGTGATGATTGAAAAAGTTCCCTTATAGTTTTAGAAATTTTACCTGTTTCACTGATATTCATTTCTCCGGGAACACCTAGTCCAAGCAAGCCTGGCGGTCCAGGAGCTCCTGCAGGACCTGGTTTCCCTTCCGGACCGGTGTCACCTTTGTCACCTTTTTCGGCCGGCCTTCCATTTTCACCTGGGGCTCCGGGAAGTCCTGGTGCTCCCGGCGCGCCGGGTTCGCCCTTGAATCCCTGCACTCCTCTAAGGCCTTCTTTGCCGTGATCACCTCTGGCGCCTTTAGGTCCTAGGTCACCTTTGTCACCTTTGGAGCCGGGAATACCCGGAATTCCTTTCGGTCCTACACTTCCCGCCGTTCCAGGTTCACCCTTCTGCCCTGGTCGACCTGGCCTCATTGTGATGCCCTCCGTCTAGAATCATAAACGATCGTTATTCAACTTATACTTCAATATTGTCGGAAAAATTGAACACTCATCAGCGATGAGTATTCTATTCGTTTGTATTTATGTACTAAGTACGTTCTGCGGTTGACATTGGGTTTAAGAGAAGAATTGTCTTTTTTCGCAGCTTTGCACTATTTGATTTCTTTGCTTTGAGCTTGTGAATCTAGTCGTCTCTTTGCTTAGGGAACAATAAAACGATGTCGATCTAAAAATAATTTAAACGCTACGTTACTGATTTATGTGAATCAGTGTATATATGTTTAAGGTTACTTGAACTTGATTAACGAGTTGAACTCTTCTTCTTCATGTTACCGTTCTTAAATATTAACACAATGTGATAGCGATGGAATTGGGATAGTCTTTCATTTTCGCTTTATTATTTATTTATTTTTATTATTTTAAATTATATTATTATCAATAATATATAAATATAAATTATATTATTATAATTATTATTTATTATTTTTCCACCGATAATGTTAATGATTTAATTTTGAAAATCGCAGATCGGTGAGTTCATGTGATTTACGTTACGCGTATTTGTGATAGGTCCGCGCATCGTAAACATCCCAAATAAGACATTGTTACTCACCTCATAGATGCCTCGAGGTTTCCAGCTGGGCTGCATGCGCATAATAGATCAAATTTCACTATTTAATTATCGACGTAAAGTCGTGCTGCTGAGGACAGCCGACTTGGCTCGCCACCTACCCCTCGAATTTATGTGATGATCGCTGACAAACAATCCCCGTTCAAACAACCATTCATACTATACGACACATTCGAAGGCGCAATTCAAATATTATCCCGAAATTGCCCGTAAATGAGTGACGATTTATAAGTAACTATTCGCAAAGTCCACCCTGGACTCATGATTTAGGAGACGTTTAAAGATCGTTTTGTTGTTTCGCGTTATACCATTGATAATAGTATTTCATATTATTTTATATTCAATAAAGAACTATATATCTACTTTATTGATCTTATTCATGAAAAACACTCTGGTTTCCGAAGGTTTAACGATACAATTAATGTGTACCATTCTTGTGATTATTAAATCTCCATGGAAAAAGAACAAAACAACAGAAAATTAGTTATTTTTCTCTTAGGAAAAATTGACAAGTAATTTAACATTTAACGTACATCCCTATAGTTTCTATAATTGCTTAAGCAACTCGTAACTAAATTACGGTTTTCTGATCTTTGATTCCATACCTACAATGGACAGATTTCAAAGTCTCTTTCTTTCCTATTCGCAGTCCCTTTCTATATTCGAAACTTCAATATCATAAAAACAATTATGATTATAATTCTACCGTGCTTGGTGTCATTTTAATCAGAAAAACATAACAAACGCGACGGCGAAAGTTTCATTCTTCAAAACTAAAAAATAAAGAAGTTTGATTTTTGAGTCAAAAGTCTCGCGAGCTTTTAATGTTGCCGAACACTTCAACTCTCAGTTTCTCCTGTTCCTTCACTTATCCTTTCCTACTTGCCACGCTAAAATCTTCATTTCTTGGGGTAGTTTTGATTCCACCTCTTCACAATTGCAATCTTCCAATCCCGTTGAGTGTTGCGATTATACAATGTTCATCGTATTTCGTATTTTACAGAAGTTTACGATCCATTATTACCATAGTGCCTATTATACTAATTATAATTTATATTCAATGAACTGTTTAACATCATGTCTGATTTTAATGACGGACTTCATTAAAGTGAAGAATCGAGCGTTTAATTTATAAAATTGATAATCTATTCAAATGTGGTAGATCGCCGCAAGTTCTCGTCCTCCTTAACGTCAACCGAGGACGGCGCAAACTTCCTCGGTTACCCGACATAATAAGTGAAGACTGTAGAAAACGGATCGGATTGAGTGAAATGTAAAAGGTCCGTTTTCGGGCGAAATTGGCCCGAACGATGAGCGAGGAGTTGATCAGCGCGGATATGCAATCGAATCTTCAAACGGGAACGCGAAAACATGAAAAGAAGCGCGGACGAGCGGATGAAAGGGGAGCGGACGGGTGGTTCGACGGATAAAACAGCAGGGAACGGGGCCGAGCGACGACGTTCTCCCGCGTTTATCCTGTGAACGCGTGTTTCGGATCCACTCGATCGACACTCGCCCGTTTATTCAAATGTTTACTGACCCGCTCGCTTCTGTAACCGTTATCGCAGCCCTGTGTTCTTTCCCCTTTTTCGTTTTGTCGCGCGGCGCAAGCGGTTCCAGCGCGCCTATTTATCAAACTACCGCGTTTGTCCGATCTCCCTTTCTCTGTGTGTGTGTGTGTGTGTGTGTGTCGTGCTCTGTGGGTCTCTTAAACCATCCCCCGCCAAGTGGTTCGGAACTTTCGGACTTCCGTCCGGCATTGACAGAGAACGCCGGCATTCAGCGCCAGGCATCTTTCATCCGCCTTCTTCGAATAGCCATCCGGAGTTGAATTAACGGTAATTCGATGTACAGGCTGTTCTACGGTACGGGGATAATCGGGTGAAGTGATAGGTTGATTAAATAATCTTGTATATTTTATTTAGTGATTTATGTTAATAATTATTGTAATAAATTGTATCTATTTAGTAGTTTTTATTAATAAGTATTGCGAATAGGTAAACTGATTGATAATAGAAAACTTTCGAGTGAAACATGCACAGTTCAATGGAGTTTAAGTGAACATAGTGAAATTTTTTTATGAACTTTTGAAATAAGTAGATGAAAGATTTGAACTCTAGAAACAAGTAGACGGTAATGTAAAGTCGTCGTAACAGGAGGAATATTAATGTTAATAATGAAGCATGGTAATACTGATGGACTGTTCATTAATGAATTCAATAAAATCATGCCTACACTGTTCATTAATGAATTCAATAAAATCATGCCTACGCGACATATGCCTTCAAAGTTAATTACGTTGTCAATCAAGAAAAATGATGTGACAACAATTTATAAGGGAATAGATTAAAGTACATTTTAGATTTCCTGTTGCTCCGTTAGATTGCGAATAAGTGTGATTGAATACTTTCGCGCGATACCGTGTGCGTCTTGCCTTCTTCTATAGCGCAAGGTGTATCAAGCGTCTGTAAAAGGGCAACAACCCAATGCAACGGCGGCGTAGGTTTCTTGGCCTACTACCCTAACCTGACCTACTGTCCCACTACTATTTTGTCACCGATGTATTCAAAGATACACCCAGCCGACACAGAAGAAATTATTTGAAAAGCCACCCTCTACAATAAGGCTCCGAAGTGTGCCACCCTATACACCTACATAAGATTCTTGTTATTTAATATCTCGGAAGAGCACAGAATCACGCGGAAGTAGAAATAAAAGTAATGTAACGGGAATGAATAATTTTTCCAGTAGTCTTTTACTTGTCGGTTTATATTTATTACATATTTCTGTGTCTATGAGACAAAAGGGGTAACAAGTAAAATTAGCAGATGGCAATAAAAGAACATGTAAAAATAACCCTCATATGACTAGAAGAATTGTTTCTTTCGGTCTATTCTGTAGAATGAAAACGTAAAATGTTCCTCGTACTTTGAAACATCCTGTACTAACTGAGAAAGTTTGTACTAGCGGATTTGTGTTCAATCTCATTACGCGTATGGAATGTTTTCGCAGAGTAGTTTTTCTCGTGCTGGGATTGTTGCGTTCGTTTTATTATGATTCATTTGAACAGTGAAATTTTATATTAAAACATCTTTCTGTTTAAAGAGGTGTTACATTTGACACTCCTAATTTTCTTCGTGCCTTGCAAGAGATTTAATATGAAATTATTATCTTTACAATTATTAGGCAGGTGATAGAATGTGAAATATTTTAGCGATTTTGTACCTCGTATTGGAATTTTTAAGCACACTTCCTTCCAGAAAGTAATTGAAAGATACTGTCAGACAATGTTTTCTTTTAATTCGAGGATGGTTACTTTTATTCAGTGGCTTAATAAGGGAGAAGAATTGATTACTAAAGCTTATAAGTCGGAAAGCTTTCACTGAAATTGCAATGGAAAACTGCTTCAATGAAATCTGACGGTTACAGATGAATTTTAAGAAGAGTTTATGGGAAAAGCAGCGATACTCCAACTCGAAAGCTATATGCAAATCGTCTCGACATTTAACCTGTTAATTATGGAATTCAGTTAAAAAAATCTCTCGTTTTGCGTGCAATAAAATTAAAAAATGTACCTAGGGTATACTTTAATGAAAAATCAAAGCAAAAAAAAAAGAAGAATTACATGTTTATCTGAAAAAATAAAGAATTTATCGATGTGTAGCGGTACGTGGCTCGCAGCGTTGGTAGGAAGTAACATTGACCACTTACAGATGTTTAGGTATAGGCAATTAAGCCTACCCTAAAGTCTGTAAGTTGGCGAAAATATTTTACACTTTTTATACGTGCGTAGCTGAATAGGCTACCCTACCATAAACGCTGCCAGCCATGTCCCGTTAAGGCTTCTTCGGCCGCACGGACAGCGCGGCTCGGGAAAAAGATTCCGAATTAGAAATCCACAATTTTTTCCCCTGCCAAAAATCGAGGCGACGTTGGAGAAGGGAATTAGCTCCACCCTCGAAGTTTCCAAGGGGTAACGCCTTTTCGAAGACGCAAATAAATAAAGCGGAAAGGCGCGAGAAAGCAGATTACCCGTTCTGCCTCCGAACACTCGTCTACATAAATAAATAACTTGCAAACATATTTGTCGCGAGTATTCAATAACATCTTACATCGCGACAGATGAAAGAATGATATACGATTTCAAGCTTTAAGATGACGTGTATACACGTCAAACGCAGTTAACTGGTTAAATTAGTAACTACAATAGATTGAATATTTTACATCAATAATGAAGCACCCGTTTTCGTCTTCCCGTAATCCTTCCTCCTTATAGGCATTAGTACCGTGCAACATCCCGCTGATGAAGACAAGACAGAGTATCTCAAATATTCTATAGAACCCAAAGTTAGGTTAGCGCTGTAAATTAACCCGTGGCCAGCTTCGCAACACGTCGTCTCAGGTGATGAGGTCTACCATAGCTGACGTTGAAGTGCCTCGTTCTACCTAACGACTTTGTTAGTGGTACAGGAGCGACGTGAAATAAAATTAGTACAACATTCACGAGTACTTCCCGTTTATTGCAAATTTAACCCCTCGGCCGCTGTTGGCGCCTGGGGGCGTTTTAAAAATTTGGTTTCGGCGTACAGTTGGCGCCTGCAGGCGATGGTAAGACGTTATTGACAATAATTGCAGCAAACCTCGCTTAGATCAAACGTAAATTAATTCTAATTCAATCAGATGGTCCATTAGTCATACATTATATAAATGTGATTATTTAACATTGCTTTAATTTAGTTCAATTCAATGTTTCGATCGTTCCAATACACTTTTTTACAAATGCGCTCTGACGCGAAATTCTGTCGTAGCCAAGTTGAATTCAAATTCGAGTCAAAGAATAAATTAAACTCGTTATTACATTCACTCCAGTTATAAAGGGCTCACCGAAATACCTACGGAACGTCGAAACGAAAATTCTTCCCATTCCTTTCTTTGATTCCACAACTATCCCTAACTTGTTACATTTCACCGTTGCACCTATGGAGCCTGGTACGTATCGCGCTTCCTAAATT